TAATCAAAGAAATAGATTATTCTTTTCACCACACAGTCCACCATTTAACCCCATCACTTGGGAGGGGGAGAACACTTGTTTCATTTGGAGATAATCAGATATAAAAAATGTTGTTATTCATTTTTTTATTATTATTCTAAAAGAAAATTTTATTTACATGCAGACTATTGTCCTCATCTTTGTTGTTATCATGTTTCAGCCATTATGGCTTCCAGCACTTGATCACTAATAATAAGTTGTCATAACAGAAATTCAGGAAGAAAAGAAAATGTTTAAAAGCAGCAGAATTTGGAGTTCAACTCTCAGAACATCAGATAAAATCTTCAATACTCATAAATAATATGAATGAATATATTTTCTATTGTGGGTGGGTGTATATGTGTGAGCACACACACACACACATGCATTCTTTTAGGGATGACATTGTTCTCTTAACAGAAAAAACATAAATAAAATTTTGTATAAAATATGATAAAAATTATTTTATAAAACTTAAATTTCATCTATAGACAAATGCTTTTATTTTTTTTTTTAATTTGATCCAGACCTGTCCAGAGCCTAAATATAGTTGTTGCATTTCAGTTTTGGTTTCAAACAGAAAATTCTCAAAAACATCCTTCAAATGTGAAAAGCAATGAAAAAGGGGTGACAGTTAAACTGCGTCAAAATATTTTGTTCACCTTCATTGAATAAATACTGGGATTTATGAAGTGACTTTGTTTATATTTATTGACACTTTTTACATTGTTTGGATTTTTGTCATCTTGTTGCCATTTTCTTGATCTTTCAAATCTTGTACACTCCAGCCTTCTTCAGGTGATTGGAATTTGGAACTGAACCCTTTATTTCTAGATTGTTCTAGTTCCACGTGCCATGCCTCATCCGGATATCTCAGTATCAGTTATTTACCTTTAACTTGACTCGCCAAGTTATTGTTAGCCAGGTATTGAATTTACAATGTGTTGCATCAAGTCACTGGTTTCAACCAACACTTTTATCTAATAAGTTGTGAGTTCAATATCTGGCTACAGCAGAGGTGAACAAAAACTTGGAGTGTTGACTTAAAGGGAAATAAACAAGTTATCTGGAAGAGACATGGCACATGGAACTAAAACAATCTGTCTTGGTGGACAAAATAAAGTGTTCAGTTTTGCATGTAATTGCTAAAAGTTGAAAATATAAATGAGTAGAAGGTTCCTGAAGGTTTCAATCCTGACATCACTGCACCGTATATGAACAGATGTTGCCTTCTGTGGAATGATTCTTGATATTTTGGGGTGGGTGTCATTTCTCTGCACTTTTGAGATGCTCAGTCACTCCCTCATTGCCACACTCATTTAAGAACAGAGTGTCTAGTGGTGTCATTGTCTACTTAACAAGATGCAAAATCTATCATTCAACTGTGGTTTTTGTTTGCTGCTTCAATGGAAATCAAACAATGGGAATTCACTTGTGAGAAATAACAACCAACGCCAGAGTATGATTAAAGATTTTTACATTTTGGTGAAGAGACAGTTTAATAAAAAGAACATGAAAGCATTAAACCTTGAAGTATCTTTGGGTGTAAGACTATTTACAACCTGAGTGTATATGTGTGTGTTTTTCATCTATATCCACATAAATGACAGTAATCATTTTAAGGTAGTTCTTACAATCATAAAATCGTAACATTGCTTTGTATATTCCATGATTTTGCAGTTCCAAAAACCTGTCTGGTTTCCACTCTCTTGTACAACTTATTTCCACCACAACTCTTGGTGACTCCTAAAGGTTTAGGTTTTAAATTTCTTGATGGCTGCTGTGAATGATGGGATCCTTTTTCTCAGTATTCTGTCTAGCTCTCTCTCTCTCTCTCTCTCTCTTATCACCAAAATATGGACAGATGGGGACCCATTTTTTGCTCTGCTGTTGCTTCCTGCAAATACTGCTTTATATAAAGAATCAAATGTCACATTTAAACTCACAGGTGTTCTCAAAATGTGAAATTTCTATTCTTATTAGTTTGAATTTCTGCTCTCTTTCCAACATGGCGTATTAACATCCATTAACCTCTTAGGACATTGGTTCTCAACCAGGGTCCACATGGACCCTAAAGAACCACGTAACATTACTGGGGCTCCACAGTAAAATTTTAGTGGTCCATAGAGCAATTTCATTTTGAAATGGTTGTTACAACTGAGAAGTGGAATTTTTACAGTAATCTATGCCATAGTAAAAATAGATCAATGTAAGTTCATTTTACTCTAGCAGATGTTTTGATTGTAAAAGTTGAATAAAAACTGAGGATATGTAAAGGAAGGATTTTATATATAAAGGAAACTTGTATAAATTAATTTAATATATTAATAATAGATAATATTAATTTTAAATATTAATAAAATAAAATAGTTATATATTAATGTAAATTAATTAATCTAGTAATAGACTCAACATTGTGAAAAGGGTTGATCTCCGACTATCATTGACATCAATGGAGTTGAACATTTAAAAAAAAAACTCACAGAGCAGCATCAACCACATGGATCTCATTGAATAAATCAGCACTTCTTAATTTATTAATTACTCTTAATGGTTTATTATGAATTATTTCATTTGTGTACATAAATTGCTTCCATAGAACAGAGGTCAGCAACCTTTTGCTGACTATGTGGCGACTTAGGGTTTTAAAATCATTCAGTGTGCCAACAGCAGACGTATTTTTATACAAGTCAAGGTCAATATATCTGTTCCATAATATATTTTATATAGTAATATATACAATATGTAAACCACATTAACAGAAATAAACTGTTTTTAAAAGTTTTTTTTTTAAGTTTTTATTATTAATGAGAGTTCAACAAGTGAGCAGTTTTGAAACAGCTGAATATCTTCTTTGTGTTGTAGTAGTTATTAGTTTGGATTTTGTGTTGTCATTTGTGGCTGCGTGCCATTGAAAATTGCATGGCGTGCCACGTGTGGCATGCATGCTGTAAGTTGCCACCCCTGCCATAGAATTTAGTTTTTAAATAAAAGTTTATTTTCATTAAATTATTTTTACTTCAAAATAAAGCATATACATTTACTATTTCTATAATAAAATTCCTAAACTTATCTATTAGTAAAAAATAAAATAAGCTTGTTTTTTCTTTTTTTTTCATTGACTGTTTATGGGGGTCCACCAAAAAGAATTAAGAGCAAAAGTGGTCCGTGGGTAAAAAAAAAAAAAAAACAAAGGTTGGGAACCGTTGTCTTAGGATAAAAAAACAAAAAGCTTGAAAACAAAAAACACAATTTATCTTGAAGGGTAAATTCTCTGCTTTTAATTTTCCCAAATCAAAATTGTAGTAACATTTTCTTAAAGTGCAGTGTATGTCTGTCTGTCCATCTGTTTCTCAATCTTGGTGAATCGTATACAACCTGAAGTAACTACTGTAGTTACATGTGATTAAAAATTAAATAAATAACTCTTTCAAAGTTAAATTTAAATATTGAACAGTGAAAAGTTTAAAAAAACAATTCTTTATTAAAAGTTTACTTTAATTTTACTTTTCATCGCAATTGATATTATCTAATTAAACTGTAATTAAAACTTAAGTGAGGTATGGTACATTGCTCATATGGTTTTATTTTTAATTTTCTAGCATGCATACTGCATATGTATTAAAAATATTACATAATTCGGGTATCCTAATGTTTTTTAAGAGTGACTTTATATGAAGGAATCATAAAGAAAGGTCATTTTAAAAGAAAAAAAAAATTGAATGCAAAATAAAATGTAAAACTACAGAGATCAATTGCATATACGAAGAAAGGTTATGCAGAATTAAGGTGTTGAATAAAGATAAAATAATTTTATTATTTCTAAATTCTTATAACTTTTATGTACATAGGACACTGAAGGAAAAAGGCCTAAATTCTGCCCAAATGGTAGTTTCTAGGCTAGTGTTAAATAAATGTTAAATATATTATTTATTTTGGGGGAGGTGGAATGATAAATTCATATATTTCCTGCTAAATGGTGAAGACAAATATATTTTTAGTTTTCCCCAATCAAGTGTTTGTTGAGACATTCCAATCTGACCCTTGGGGTTACCCAAATGGACTTCTAGGAATTCATTTAGTTTCAAGCCATTCTGATACCTTCTCTACACTTCATTTTATGGTTTTGTTTAATATTTTTGAACTGTTCTATCTTTATTTTAACCTTCCCTTGATCCAGGCTTTAATTAGAACTATTTTTAATCTGTTAGCTTAAGCCTTTCATTGCCAGGATTCACCATTCACAACATTTATACACTAATAAATTTGCTAACTTGTTACAAAAGAATCCTTAACATATTTAAGACCTTACAAGTGATTGGCTGCAAAAAAAGCAGCCAATCACTTTGCCAACTTGTGCTGAACAAAACCGTACCATAGATAAAACTGGTCATATGGAAACTTGCCTTTGTGAGTTTTGGGTAAACCATAAAATTGCAGTTGTACACAAAGCCACAGGTTTGAGTTTCATGTCTACCAGAAGGACTTTATTTTTAACTAAACTGAATAAATGCTTTTGAAAGTTTAACTCAATAGATTTTGTCCTATCATGTTTTATCCAACCCACGCACCCCTTATTTTATAAATTTGATTCCAATCTTCTTTTTTTTTCTTTTTGCATTTTGATATTAGACTTTATGATAACTTTTTTGTTGCTCGTTTTTTGTAATTCTCACCTGTTGTTTTAATTGCTATTATTAAATGAAAAGATGTCATTTGTAAACTTCATTCTTTCAACACAGCAGTAACACACACACACACACAAAAGGGATATTTTCTAATTTGATTCAGTTGTTTAGACATCAATGAGTTGTAACAAACAGAAAATTTATTAAAAAATTAAAATCTGATTCTCCCCTCATAAATTGTTTGGAAACTGTTCATTTCATCAACTAAAAGTTTTTAATCTTTTTATATTTCATCAAATCAAGAACTATTTTTATTCATTTCAATCTTCAGATAAAATGCTTTGTATTTTTCAGATGCTATCCAATTCCAGCAAATCAGATGAACATTTCAGAATTCTTTCTTGGCAAGAAATGGTGGCTGGTTCAATTCCACAGTCACCTCCAGACAAAGATTACTGGCTCAACTTCAACTCCAAACCTGATCATCCATTTAAACGATAACACCTCATTTGAGACATTTTCAACTTAGCGTTAAATATTTATAATTCTTAAATTACCATAACCGTTTTTTTTTTCTTGAGTATTTTTATTGAAATCTCCATTAATGATCAATTTTCTTCAGTGTTTCATAAAATATTTCTTTGATGTTTACAAAGCTTAGTTTAGTCTGGCACAAGTAAGGAAGATCATGTTGCACCGACCTGCCCTGAAAACTGGCATTTGAAACTTTTAGCTTTTAACCTGGGCTTCAACGGGATACTGTCCACTTGCAAATAATGTTGGATGGACGTTTTAAACTGCAGTTAAACAGTCAACCTTTAAAGAAAAAAATGTCTGAATTCAGAAAATATCAAGAATTCAAAATTCTATCAAAAAATCCAGTTGAAAGATTCCAATCTTGAAACATTTTAAACTTTTTTATTTAATAGAAAATTATTTTCCTTTTAGTAAGATTTTTAAAAATTTCAGTTGCAACTATTTTCTTCAAGTTACTTCATATTTGTTACTTAATTTTGGTACAAGGTCATGAATATGGATCACCTAGTAAGGATTTGAACTCACTGCAGAGAGAGAATGGCTGATCAGAATAAATTGCTAACCACTACCTTTCCAGTGGTCTTTCGCTGGTCAGAAATTCTGATATAAATCCTGGCTATTTTAGGAATCATTTGTAGATGCTGAAAATACGCACCTTAACTTGTTTCACTTTCAGAACCTTTTTTTCTCTTGACATATAAAAACTAAACTCATAATTGTTCATTAAAAAGTCACAAAAAAAGAAAAGAATTTCACACAAGAGAAAAGCAGAAGAGAAATCAACTGCAGCAAACAAATTGAGAAACCTGTTTTCTTATTTAATATTTTTTAATTCAAATGTACATTAAAAAAAATCTGAAACACGTAATTTACAGTTTGATAAAAATAAATGTTTCGGTATGTACAATGATTTTAATTTCATTCACACATTCGTTTTTATGTACAAAATTTACAAATTCAACGATTAAAACATTTTCTGTCTTTAAATACAGAAAAAAATGTGGGTGTATCATGGAAAATTACATGAAAAAACAGCTTACAAAATGCAGTTATTTTTTAAAAAAGTAAAAAAATTTAAATGTTGCTGGCAATAATAAAAGCCAATTTTTTTCAATTAAAATTTTGTTTTTATTTTTCTACCATTTTTTTCTGGATTACTAACCCGCCTCCTCCTCCTCCAGCTAGTACTATTTTCTAATTAACAGATTTCTAATTGATGTATTTGTCTAATTAGAAGGTCACATTTATAGCAGTTTGACAAACAGTCACACTCTGAGCACATCAAAGTATCCATCCAAAAAAGCACTTGAGGACATTTCTTACATTGCATCAAAGAAAAGAAATTCTTGCAGGCAGAGTGGGTGGAAGAGGAGGAGGAGGAGGAAGAACAGCAGCAGCAGCAGCAACAATAACAACAATAGAGGCATTAATGGTCAGTTTGAATTCTTTTTGTAGAATGGCAGTTTTTCAAAATGCAACATCAAGCAATCCATTGGTGCAAGAGAAATTGCCTCCTTTTTCTTTTCATTTTATTTTATTCCTTTTTCCCTGTTTATTGCTCAGCTACAAAATACTTCATGTCATTCCATTAAGACTTACACAGTAAGAAATTCGCAAAATTGACAACAACAAATCTATTTGAAAATCCAAACAACAAATTCTCCAAATGCCTTGGGCACTTTTTCTTTTTTTAGAGAGTGAGAGAAATGGGAAAAGATGAAATCAACAAAAAGGCTGAATAAAATCAGATTTACTTACTGTCTATGATGACAATAATTAAATACGAATTGTAAAAAAACAACTTTGTTTCATAGGCAAAATGAATGAAATTTTATGAAAGCCCTGAAATTAAAAAAAAAAAAATTACAGGACATAATAATAGGTTTTTTTTTTTGTTTTTAAGTAGATGCTGACTAATAAAAATACTAACAACTTATAACATTGATGAGCAAAAAATTTTTTTTTAAATCAAATAACAACATAAATAAATTTTGTAATATTGATTACAAGTTTTTCTGATTTGTTCCTTTGCTTTCAAACAATAGACAATGCAACTGATAAGTGATGGCAGCAATAAAGATTTGTCATCTCTCTTCTGACTTCTTATAAAAATTACATTAACTATTATTCTAAGGAATCTAAGGAGCAAAATGGAAACGAGCAGCAATGATGAGTGTATTAAATTAAATTAGAACCAAATCACTGAAGAAACAGTTTCATTCTTAAATTACAAAACAAAATCTTTTAATTAAACTTGCAATTTAAAGGACGGTAAAAGTATTTTCTATATAAAGTAAAAAAAAAAAAAAAAAATAAAAATAATCTAAATTTATCCAAACCATAAAAACAGGTGTTGAAAATGCAAAGAATCGATTTTTTTATAAAAATTTAATGAAGCAAACCAAAGAAAACCGAAATGACTTATTTTCCTTGGACTTTGTTAATCCTCATGAGATCAGGACCATCAATCGCAGTCAAGTTAAAAAATAAAGAATCACAGAAATGAAGAAAAAGTTTTAAAAATTCATTTTCATCCACATTTGTTGACCAAATTTGATGGCATGAAATTTTCTTTATAGTCATAATTTTAGTTTATAGTTTTTCAATAAAAAGAAAAACAATTTTTAAACTGTAAACAATATTCTGAAGATGAACAAAGCTTTTATCAAATTTTGAAATGTGGCTGTCGTAATTGTTGATTGTTCTTTGGAATGATGGAAGGATTTTATGGACCTTTCAAGAACATTTCCAAACTATGTTTGATAGAATGTCAAAATGCAGTCATTTACAATAATGAATGATGTTAGACACAACTGAAGAATGAAAAAGCGAAATATTAAAAGCTATGAATACATTTGTTATTTAACTCCCTGAGATCTGAAAACAATTATCAGGCTGAACAATGTCCAAAATAATAATACTCCTATCTTCTACAATTCAAACTAATAAAGTTTCCAAGTTTTGTGGGTATTTTTAATTAAACATTTCTATTCTTGCTCTTGTTCATTTTTTAAAGTGTATATCTAAGTGGGCCTGATAAAAAAAAAAAAAAATCAGTTGATCGCAAAAAGCATTGAACAGAAATAAATGTAGAAGTTTCAGCTTCCTTCTGACAACAAAATATAAATTTCATTCTGCCATGACAGATTTAAATGAAATGGCTTAATTTTCCCTCCAAGCTTTTTTTGTCTCAACAGATTTGATCATTGCTTAATTAATTTGGTTGACACAGAAAAAAATTCAAAAAGAGCAAGTAGCAAAAATAAAAACCAAAACAAAGCTAGATTTGTCTTGTTTTTAATTTAGATATAGTGAATAATTTTGATTGTCTAGCAAAAGATTTAGAAGAGCCAGGAAGGAAGAAATTCCAAAACTTGTGAATATTTCTTGCAAACTGGAAAAGAAACACACATTATGTTTAATCACATATCACTTTTCCTTATATGATGATTCTTGAAACAATCTGACTTCATTCCTATCACAATCCACAAAGTCTATCCCAATCAGCATTTCTGAAAAGATTTTTCAAAATGATTCAGCCAATGCTTAATTCTAATTAAAAGAAAAATTTTACAAAACAGAAAAAGCCTTTGTGTTTGTTAAAATTGGATGCAGTTAAAACTTAATGAGAAATAGAAAATAACTACCCAAACAGATAAATCTTTTCTAAAGAAATTCTTATGAATTCCCAGAGATCTTCTACAGAGAATAGATCAATGTTGACTTAGAAAAAAATAAAAAAATATCTGATCATCATCATGCCATTTTCAGCCATTCACACACACAACAAAGAAAAATCCTAACTCAAGCCATAAAATGCATCAAAACAAAATCAGAGAATTTCTGTGCACAAAAACTGCATCTTCAAAATTAAATAAAAAATGAAGACATAAAAACAAAATGCTGTTCCCTTTGAAAATCCGGCCAGGATTTTTCTGTCTTTAGCTTCACTTGGAGTTCAAAAGAAAAATCTTGAAAAGTAAGTAACAGTGATAATCAGAAAAGAATTGACATTTCATGTTTGATTGACTCTTCCTGAAATGCCTCATTAGTTGTAACGGAAATATTAATCTAAGATTCAGTTTTGAAATTGGAAAGAATTCTGGAAAGAACCATTCCCCAAAATGACATCTTTTTTTTTTAAAAGGATTGGGACACTAAAGTTGTTTTGAAAATTGATTTTAAGTTAAAATTTTTTTGTTTTTTTTACTTTGTTTTTAAATTTTATCACTGAAAGAAAATTTCATAAAAATGTCCATTTGCCTAAATGCTGTCCATATTGATTGAATAAAAAATTAAAAAAAACTTATTCTTTATATCTATTTGAAAGGATTACTTTTTGTGTTTGTGCTAAAATGGAAACTAAATGGGACACAAAATTGCTACCGTTTTTCATGAAAGCATCTTCCTGTCTCTCTCTCTCTCTCTCTTCAAGGTAAACAACAAATACAGAATCTTTTCCTCCTTTACAATGTAAAAGTGTCAAGGCAATCAAGAAAGTCTATGTCAATCTCTTGTGTCATTTTGTAACATCAAATTACAACAAGTTCCATACAAGGAGGCAATTGACGACATTCACTAAACAACAAGATAGCTTTTTTTGGGGATTTTTTTCCTTCGCTAAACTTTTCTTTAAAATTTCAGTTAGAAAAAAAAGAAAAAAACTAAAGGATTGTGATATTTTTAGTTTCATTATTTTCTTGTCATTTCCAGATACACGCACATCAAAATGTCCATTGCATTTGAACTTTGCCCACCCAGCCCTATAGAAATAAAAAAAAAAAAATAAATAAATAAAAAGTTGTTTTTTGGGGTTTTTTTTTTTTTGTCAGTGTAGGAATTCATCAATATCAAATCCCTCATTGTTTTGATCTGATTGATCATTTGTGATTGGCTCAAAATTTTCATCACTGTCCGATTCAGACACTTGTAAGTCTTTGTTAATGTCCGTCTCAGAGCCAGGCGGCTGGTGGTGGTGGTGGTGTTGCTGCTGCTGATTGGTGATCTGTTGAGCTAATGAACTGCTCAAGAAGAAGGCTGATGGATCAAAACTCTGCTCATCATCATCATCATCTCCAACTCCAGACATATTATATAGGTTGGCATTTTCACCCTGATAGAACTGGCTTTGATCCCCACCGCCATACTGCTGGGCACAGTCATCATCTTCCATGTATTCAGACAGAGTCCCAGCCAGAACTCCATTTCCACTGTCATCCAATTTATCTGCAAATAGAAGAAAAAAAAGTAGATTTTCAAAGTATTCTTTGGTATGTCATTGAAAAGATTTTAGACTCACACTAAAAGAAGATTCTGGACTAAAAAGAATTTGCAGTTTTGCAAATGGCAGTTTCAAACTAAGAATAACAACAACTTCATTTTTTAAAATAAATCTTGAAATACATTTTTTTTGAAAAGCAGAAGGATTAAAATTTTGAGCAAAATTTTAATATTAATGTAATTTATAAGTACAATATTTTCTCAGAAAGAAAAACTTTGTTGCTTAACAAGTGTAAGATTTTTTTTCTGTGAAAAAAAAAAAACAAAAAAAAACTGAAGAATCAAATATACTCATGTATAAACTGGCTTCATTGTCCAGTGCAACTGTGAAATTTGGGGCATAAATTTTAACCATTTTAGAAAAAACATTTACCTCTGTATAGTGCAACCAGTCACTAAAAAGGCATGCTTCAAAATAACTTACCTGTGTATAATGCAAAGCCCTATTTTTATGTAAAAAACTGATCATAAAAACTTGCACTATACTCAAGTACATATGGTAAATACTTTTAGCTTTTTGTTTCTTTTACATATTTTATATCTCTGCATTTCTTGCTCAATAATTGAAGACAAAGGGTGTGTGTGTGTGTGTGTGACCTAGGCCAAACTAATTGGAGCTACAAATGTGATTATATGATAAAAGAGAAAACTTACAATGTTTTTCATCATCATCATCATCATCGTCATCATCGTCATCGTCATATTCATCATTTTCGTTGTCAGAATTCTCAGGCGTAATTTGCAAATCTTGTGCCAAATCATTGTTGTTATCAGATGACGATAAATGTTCAGCCTGTCCCCCATGCTGAAATAAAAAAAAAAAAAAAATCATCATCATTGCTTTCTCTGATTACCAAAATAAACAATCATTTATTCTCTTTAAATTTACATATTCAGCTCAAAATGTTTCAGCTTTTTAACCCCTTCATTCAGTTTCCTTTCTTTTATTGCTTTTATCATAACACTACAAAACACATTCAAAGTTCATTAATAGTAAAAACTAACCTATACTTCACACAAATTTAGATCCCCTGTTCCCATATACAAAAACAAAGCTAAAAATTGAAAATGTATTTCATATAATTTGGAAAAAAATCATTCTATAAAATTCTATTCTCATTTAATGAAACTAAACATTAAGGAAAAAATTCTGATTTAGAATAGAGCCAAAAATTTATTCTAAGAAATTTTTCATTTTACTAAGAATTTAGAAAATGAAAGTAGAATAAAACTTGATCCCCAAAAGGGAAAAAAATTAAAGTTTTTTCTTTTTGTCTAAAAGATGGATGGCTATAAAAATAAAATAAAAAAAATGATGTGCAAGGGGCATTAAGATATTTTGTCTGTGATGTTAGTTTTCAAATCACTATTAAGTTTAACAAAAAGATATCAAAAAATATATATATTTTTAAAATAAATGTTTTTAAATGAAAATTAGTTTACAACAGTTTATTCCTTCTATTAGAATGTTGTAAAAATATGATAAAGAATTTGGTTGAAATCTATTTCTTTGTCTATTCCATGTTGAAAATAGAATATTTGAGAAAAGGCTAAGATTCACTCCAAAGCGAAAAGAAAAGCTTTTTCTTTTTAATTTTTTTCAGTTTAAAATATAAACAAAAAATGAAAAAGTAATGTGCATTTTCTCTGTAATCATAAGATGGTAACTGACCACCATGGTAACGAGATTGAGAAAAAGGGTTGATGATGCTGCTGCTGCTGATGATGATGATGATGGGGAAGGCACATATTGTTTGGCCATCATACAAACCTGTGGAGACATATAGTATTCATGGTCATCTTCGTTTGCACTCTCTGCATCGTCCTCTACATCTACAAACTCAGAATCTGACTCTTCATGCACCATTTTGGCCTACAACAACAACAAACATGCACGAAACATGCTGATTGCACAAAAGAAGCAGAAAAACAAGAAGCAGAAAAACAAAATACACACAAAAATCAAATCAAACTTTGCTTCACCTTACACAACTTTAATTTGATTCATTAACAACTAAATTGAAAGAACGAACGAGAATCAATCATGAGACATAATGAAGAGATTGTTAAGTGTTTATGCAAAACAGATTCAGCCATATTGACAGCAATTCATAAAATGTTATGGTGTCATTAGTCGAATTTCAATCATCTCTCAAAAATAACAATAATCACCATCACTAAATCATTCTGCTCTATAAAATTTGGTGAACACATTTATCAACATAGACGATTAAGACATTTAATTTTCAAAAGAGAAAGAAAACTGCTTTGAAATCCTATAAACATTTGCCATAAAAATCAATACTCATGGAAATCATTTTCATTATAATGATATTTCTTATCTATTATCCAACTTAACTCTTTAAATATGGACATCATATATAATTAATATATTTTATGTTTTCTTTTTTAACTAGTGTTTAACATGTAAATATCTTGATTAATTTATTTTAAGCAATTTTAATTAAATGTTATTTCTCAGTTTTTAAATGAAATTTATTAGATTATCAATCAATATCCCAAATTATTCATACCATATTGTAGGAGTTTTTTTTTTTTTTGTAAATAGTGTGAGTAAGTCATTTTAATCACTCTATTTTAAACATTTTTTTAAGGGTAGTTAAAAATAAAAAGGAAAATTATAAAAACAGAAAAATATCCAACAAATAAGAAATAATAAAGAATTTAAAAGGGGAGGAAGAAAAAGAAAAGTAAGTCGTAAGATGAGCCAATATAATAACTCAGATTTTTTATCTTATTTTATTAATGTATATATATTCATTGGTTTGATTTTTTTTTCTTCTTAAAAAAAACAAACACCCCATCTTGGCTGCATGTAGGAAAATCAGTACAACTAAGCATACCTGATCTATAACATCGAATAGCCCAAGTGTAGACTTGGTTAGCTGCCGTTTTCTGGTGGAATTTCTATAAAGCACGTCCTAAAGCTAGTAGCAAATTTACTCTGGGTGCGGGCCGAGTCTTGATCATATTTGGTCGGGTCGCCCATCGAAGAAGTTTGTTGTTTATTTAGACCCAAATCTTCTAGTGACATGGAAACAACAACACTGATGACGCACCTAGAGTCGGTACTTAAAGGTGTAATTTTAACAATAATTTCAGAAAATCATTCTCATATTGTTAAAAACTATTGTATTTCTGACTGAATACAAAACTATTTTATATTGAGTTTTGAATTGCAAGTAAGACAAGCAACACTTCAAATACAAAGGTGTCCTGAAAAGTATTTAACACTGCCAAAAGAAAAAAGTATCATTGAAATATTCAATTTTAAATACACTGTCAACCAAATGAGAGGTTTTTTATAAAAATTAATAGTTTAAGATCAAAAGTAAACAAAACAATTCTTCTTGCAGACAGACAGATTAGTGATAGACTCATCTCACTTAACATGGATTTAATTAATGTAAATATCTTCCTATTTCCGATAATCAGAATGATTTGTCTGCTACAATTCTCAGTCATTTAAATTTATTCTTGCTGCGTCTATCAATCTTGAATATTATCAATCATTAATGTTAGTTGGTGTGAAGTCAACATTCTATAATTAGACTAAAGTTTTAAGTGTTGGTCCAGTTTAGGAAAATAAATGCTTAGTTTTCTTTTTAGGTGCAAGAATCAAAAGTTTACACAATGATAATGTTCAGCAGTGTTGAAATATTTCCATTTGTATTGTTAACACGTCTGACCAAAAAGGGAAAGAATTGTCTCTAATTGTGAAGGTGTAAACAAAGTTAAATAATGAAAGCAATAAAAGAGAAAATAAAGCTAACAGCTTTTGAAATATGTGAACGACTGTCCAGTCACTTTTAAAAGAATGTGTTGAAAAGAAAAATGAGTAATGCAATATATACATATATCAAGTAAAGGTGGATCAAGTAGCTGAGATGAAAAAGAATAATTATTTGGCAGAAATCATGATAACAATGGACATCTAATGGAATAAATACTAAAAGCAAAATGGTAATCAAAGCAGAAAGAGATGATTGTTGTTGACATCCATTCATGATGGAAACGACAAACACGTGGTTTGCAATCGACAGACAAGACTTTCAGCCCGCTGTGCAAACATAAAGAGTACAACATAGAAAGATTAATAATGATGAAAAAGATCTGCAAAATGAATATTATTAAAAGATGAAATGCAAATGGCTCTTTTTTGATTCTCTGATCCTTTTAGAAAGAAAATGAAGCAAAGTCAAGAAAACTGAAATAAAAAGGACATTAATGAACAGGAAAACAAGTTCCAATTCACAAAGTCTTTTTAACTGTGATGTATAAACAATCCCATATAATAAATCGATTGCATTAAAAACAGAGCTTTGTTAAATTTCTCATCCTAAGAAAGATATTAACTTTTAACACTCTGCATTATCAATATGACTTCACTTTCCACTGCATTCTTTTTCAAGTCTTCTCAACTGCAGTAACCTTATTGTTAATTTCACTCAAAGTTGTTTTCTGCAGGATATGACAACACAACTATGAAATTCAAACACGCTTTGTTGAGGGATCAGAGTCACCTTCAGTGGTAGGATAAACTTTTTCTACACATACAGAGTGATAAAAGTTAAAATGTACAAAATACATTCAGGCCAATGAACTAAAAAATGTCAATAACATGTTTGGCAAATCAAGTTACAATGTTGAGAAAAGACAATGTAAATCTTTTTAGAGTGATTCAAGTGATTTGCATTTATGAATCTCAAGAAAAAAATCCAATTGTGTATTAAACAATATCACATGATGAGAAACATTGGTTAGCAATTTTTAATTCTCTTTTGAATTAATGAAAATATTCCAATAGAAATAGTGCAAGAAATTTGAAGACTGAATTAAAAAGTTTTCCCTCTAAATTAAAATTACTTTTCAATTTTACAATGTTCTATAAACTGTTGACATTTTGGTTGAAAGAAAGAAAATCTCACTTATCCCTTGCAATATTAGAAAATAGCCCTAGCAGTCCATGTAACTATTCCCAGAAACACTACCCTACAATGTTCTATAAACTTGATTTAGTTGTAAATCCTGGAATAATGTTTGAACATAGTGTCTTTTAAGAGAAGCAAATACTTAAGCAAGAGGAAAATGCTGAGATTACAATGTCAACTTCAACAGAATGAAGAAAAATTCAGAAAATGATAGCAAAAACAATTTCAATAAAGACTGTTTAACAATGACATTTCTTACATCTTTGAACATAGACGTTGACGGCCGTTGTATTTCACTTAGATGGTCTACACCTGACGAATGTGGTTCTCCATCAGGCCAATCGTCATTTGCCATCACACCTTCTCGAAGACTGTTGCTGTCCAAACTTTCATTATCCATTCCTAACAAGAGAAATGATTACAAAATGTAAAGGGATAAATTTTTAAAAATTAAAATAAAACAATTCTTGGTATGGGTTGAATTATTTTTGAATAAACAGTTTTTCATCTTAACCTTACAGAGCAATCAAATGTAACTATGATCAGAATTATGACATTCTCTTTTTGTCCATCTATCATAAAATTTAATGATGTAAATCTGGTCAGTAATTTTACTGATAAAGACAAAATGATAGAAAAGAGGATTTATTAGAGGAAAAATTTCTTTATATCTCAAAAGTTGCAAAGATCATCATTTCCAGATTAGAGTGACAGAAGTTAAATTGATTGTAAAGAAATTAAGAAATTTGCAAAATATCTTATTAAGAGATGAGTTCAAAGTTATCACAATTATTTGATAGTAGAAATTTAACACAAAAATTTATAAACGTAGCACATTCTATAATTGACACAAAGTGGAAGTAAATTTTAGAAAAGTTGTTTAAATATAAGAAATGCCTTTTCACAGAAATTGTGAGTGTATAACAAGAGACTCTCACCTAAGACACTGTTATCATCCATATTGAAAGAAGTTCCGGTCATGATACTATCAGTTTCTACAGCATCAAGAGCAGCCTCTCGAGCTGCTTGAATATCTCGCTCTAACTGACTGAGATGCTCGTCATGCTGGCAAAGAAACAAAGATTAAAATTAAAGAACAATTACAAGATCAAGTGTTATTATTTGCGTACAGCTTGAGTTTTTGAAACTTTAATAAAACAATGAAATAGAAACAGAAAAGAGAAATTATAGAAAATATTGTGTCTTTGATTGTTAGACTAAGAGAAGAAAAGTCAAACATCTCTTTTTATTTAGGATCATTAGAAAGATTTGCATTATTAGACAATGCACTGAGAGTTTTCTCTTTTTTTTTCTCATCAAAATATTAATTTGCCAATTTTTCATAATCATACATCCAGAGTGTTGCAAAAAGATGGCTGCCTACCTTTTTATAAAAGCTTTAATTTTTACTGATTAAAAAAAATTAATATTCTAATAAAGTTTAAAATGGCAAGGTATTAACTTTGATTGCCAAGAGAGTGAATTGCAAACATCAACTTATTAATCATTTACACTATTTACATTGTTCGAACTGGTGTAATCATCTTTAGTATCATATTCACAATGATTTGGCCATTGTATGTTCCAGCATTCTTTAGGTGATATACACTGGAATTTCAAACTAGACCCTTTATTTAGTCCACTGGGGTAGATTGTTCTAGTTCCACTTGCCATGCCTTTTCTGGATATCTCAGTTTCAGCTATTTCCCTTTAGTAACTCAACTCTCCAAGTTTTTGTTAACCTCTGATGTAGCCAGGTATTGAACTCAACTCTTTGGGTCAAGTCACTGGATTACTTCAACAAACACTTTTATCCACTGGATATCACCTGAAGAAGGCCGGAGTGTACAATTGCCGAAACGTGAATATGACAATAAAGATGGGGACAACAGTTTGAACAATGTAAATAGTGTAAATAGTTAGAATACCTCATTTCAGAAATAAAGACAGATCCTGAAGAAGACTGGAGCATATAACAGTTGAAATGTCACGAATATGAAAATAAAGATGAGGACAACATTCTTAATAGTGTAAATAGTTACAATACCTCATCTCAGAAATATAAACATATTTTAACTTTCATTTGACAACAGTGTGTATAAATATGTTGGATCTTGTTGCAGAAACTTTGTCATTAAGAAGAAATTGTATTAATGTGAACATGGTGTGTTTATTACAAAATGCAACTGTATTTGTCAGGAAATGTTTCACTAAGATCAGACACAATTAAAATAAGAAGATTGTCTATTGTGTTGAAAATAAAACTCTACCCCCACTCTCCCACCGCTTTCAAATAACAAAATAAAAAAAATCCCAGACATGACTGATCTTTGAAGCCTGAAACATGTGTATTAAAAAGTTTGTATAAGTCCTTTTATACCTTCTCTCTCTCTCTATATATATATATATAGATAGAGAGAGAGAGAGAGAAAGAGGTATAAAGAGGACTTATACAAATTATATATATATATATATATATATATATATATATATATATATAAGATCCAATAATTTCTGAATATATTTTACTATGCAATTAATTTGTTAAGGTAACTGAAAATGGAAAAAAAAAAATGTTCACTGTCAAGTTTATGTATAAATTACCTCAGCTAAATTTTCTTTTGCTACCTCAACAATTTTTGCAGCAATATTAGTATAGCTGCTGTCGGGTCCATTATATTTGATGCTGTTGGTCAAGATCAATTCAACATCTTCAATGAATTGCTCTCGATGATGATATTTATGCAATTGTACATTCTGCAAGAAAATAAGATTCAAAATCAAAATTGGCAAATAAATCAAATGAAAATTACAATACGATTTCTTAATCATACATTTAAGACAAATGTTTTTCTAAAATGTCAAAAGTGTTTCCTGAGCTTTTCTCCACTTAAGTGTGACTAAATATAAGGGAGGTAATCGAGAGTTGACAAATCTGAATAGATTATAGATTTAAGACTAGAAATATTTAAGAAATCTACCCTCACTTCAGAATAAAACTTTCCTTTTAATTAAGTCATATGGTTAAAAACATGTAAAAATGAATAAAACGGACCAACTTCAACAATATAAACTTATGTATCATGAAATATCAACAAAATTACTAACAGTAATCCCCCATTATGAATAGATTGAAATCTATCTTTAATGGGTCAGTGAGTTTTAGAGTTTAAGAGAACAGTTAAGTCAGCCACAAAGGAAAAGCATTTACAACTGAAAGTTATTGAAATTAAACTAAAAAAAAAAAAATGTCTAATGTTATTCCACTTAAATTAAAAATACTGCACATCAAAGTCTAGATCGTTTGCTCTAATCAAACAATATTTCAACTGAAATCTTAAACGAAAGGAGGAAGAGGAAGTGATGAGTACATCAAGAGGAGGAGGAGGAGGAAATGAAGAGTACATCAGGAGGAGGAATAAATGACATCAAGAAGAGAAGGAAATAAGGAATACCTTCAAAAGAGTGCTGAAGTCCATGGGTTTTTTGATGACTTCATAATAATCTTTAACTGATTTTTTGTTTACAGGTTGATGGAATGGCCAAGACTAAAAAAGAAAAAAAATTCAAACATTTAAAAAACAAATTTATTTCTGCATTCTAAAAAAAAAAAAAAAGAAAAAGAAATATCCTATAGATTTGGATTAATTTAATTAATTTAATGTCAAGATTGTTTAAATAGAAATTCAAAAATTCATATAAACAGATGATTAAATACGTGAATGAAATATTTATTTTTATTTTTGCTACAGAGAAAATTATCAACAAATTACAGAATTGTGTAAAAAAAAAAAAAAAATCCCTTACATTTTCAACAACTTTCAATTTCTGATGAATAATATTCTCCAAAATGAAAGAAAAAGCAACTTGATCATCATCATCCAATAAAGGATTAATCGCTTTCTCCAAACGCATCAATTTCTCTTCTTTCTGGAAAACAAAATGGTTAACATATACATTAAAAATTTGTTTTACATTTCCAATAATTTCATCAATATTTGACAATTCTTTAACTAGTAAGAGATTAAAAAATTGCTTTTACTCATTACTGATATGACATACTATAAGTCATTTACTTAAATGTTACATGTTTGGTAATTAAATCAATTCCAGTACATTTTGTATGTGAGTAAATTTTTAAAAAAATCTTAAAAATGTACTGACAACTTTAGTTCAAACTTATCACTTCAAAATTCATGAAAAAATTCCTTTATTTAAAAACTGAGAAAAGAAATGTTTTTGCAAGAATTTTATTTGAAAAGTTAGAAATAACTCACCTCAGCAAATTTGTTTAAACACAAATCGAGCATAGCTTTTGCAGTAAGTGTAATCAAATGCTTTTCACCTGTAAGAAAAAATGGATTCAAGTCATTCCCTTTTGATGTTTTTAAATGATAAAAATAAATATTATCAAGTTAATCAAGGAAAATGACAATTTCTAACAAAGCAACTCAATCCCATCTTGTAAAGGTCAATTTATTTCAACTCAATCATGTCTGTCACAAAGCCTTATATATGAAGCAACAGAATAAGTCTAAAAAAACATCAATGAACACTCATATATCATTTAATAAGAAAACACTTACCATTGTACATTTTACTGTTGATGGACATTTGATTTACATCAGTCAGAAATTCTTCTCTTGATGTGTATTTCTTCTTCCATACATTCTGATGTGGGTGGAGAAAAAAATGCAAAGTTAAATTAAAGAGGAAGAAAATCAACCAAAACTATATTTTCAAATATCAACTTGATGACAATACACAAAAGAATTTAGTTTATAGCAGCTGATAAAAACAAAATCAATCATCTTAAAAACATTCCTTTAGATGCCATTAGCATGAGGATTCGTTTCTTTTCAATCTTACATTTCTCAAAAATTGAAATACAAAAATCTCTTTTAACATGTTTACAATTTTAAAAGAAAATAGCTAGTTTTGCAAAATGATAAAATTTAAATTTCATTTAAAATGTCCACATGAATTTCACTGCTAAAGAAAATTGCTAGAAACAGAAAGCATTTATTGTTTGAATGGTAAAATATTTTATGTGAAAATGGATGAACATTGGTGGTGCAATATTTTCAAAAGCTTTCAGATAATTGTTTCCAAGTGATTGAAGCAATTTTTTTGCTTTCTTGTGAAATATATCAGTAAAAATAACAGAGAGCTAATTTACAATTGCAAATGAACTTACTTCTCTGAGAGTTTGCAGATCCATGGGATTCTTTACAATATCATAATAATCTGTGACTATTTTGGGATTGACTGGAAACAGGAATGGTTGAGTCTAAAGTTGAAAAAAGATAAATAAATGAAAGAAAGAGATAAATAAAAAATATTTTTTTATTTTCCTATAAACAAAACTTAATCAGTGTAGAGTGAGTGGCCATGATTAAATGTAAAATAAATAATAGAACTGTCCAACAAACAAAATTGGCAAATTTTTTAATAAGCAATAAAAAGAAAAAGAAAAGAACAAAAAATAATATAAAGCAAGCAAACGATATATGCAAAGCAAATTAACAGTTATAAGACAAAAAGTTCACAAACTAAGATTTGGGGTTGACACACAAGAGTAAGTTCAGACAAGTGAATGTGGTGTTTGAACTTCAAGACAAGACAGACTGGGGCTGAGTCAGATGAAACCGAGAACTGGCCTATTTTATTGACTAGGAAGAATTCCCAGCATGCATGTGTGTGCTACTGCCTATAATTTTTTGTGGGGTTGGGGATTGCAGTCATTCCCTATTGGCATTGAAACCAACAATCATGAAATTGTCAAAACTCAAAAGATACACATAAAAGTCACTGATATTTTCTGGACATTGTTTATGAGTTGTTGGTTATGGCACCCATTTGTGTAAATTTTATTTGCTCGCACATGTGCAAGAATTTCCTTATTCAATTTGAAAAACATAAATGTTCATTGATGTCAGAGAAGGAGGTGGATGGATAGCATCATACTGAGGAGCATCTTGACTATCTTGTGTGTCATGCAAAAGAGAAGCATCCAAATTTGAATCACACAATCAAACCATATAATAATTATCAATGTATATTATTTTTATATTTCCTGCCTGATTTGAAGAGAGATAACTTATTTATGCTTTATTAATGTTGCCACAGAAAATGTATCTGTCACTACATATTTTATTCAAATATGTGAATTATGGTATCCTAAATTCAAAATACTTTTACCCTCTAAATCTATAGATGAATAACTAAGAGATAAGTTTAATATTAATATTGTAGATGTAATTACAAGTTGTCATATTATTTAAATATATTTTAGTCTTGTGTTAGTATCCAAGACTCAACACAAACTTTCTCTATAAATGTAGAATTAAATTTAAATAATTCTGTTTTACATTCTTTTATGCATTTAAGATAATTTTGACTAATTCCCTTTAGGAAAGGAGGAGATAAGAACAAGAGCGAAAACAAAGGCATCGATTATGCCCATATGTCTGGATCAGATACAGGCATGGCAGCAGGAGGTTGATAGGCAGAAATATTCACAGGCATTGCAGGAACAATATGAAGCAATAAGAGCACAAGCCAGGAGATGTGAGGCTCAGAGGCAAACTAATGAGACAGAGGAGGAGGTCAATAAGAGAGCAAATCTGCGAGAGAAAGCAGTGCTAAAGAAAGACAAAATGAAGCAGAGGAAGAAACTGCAAGAAGATCTATTACAAGAAAACATACAGATGAAAGGATTCAAAAATGAAGGAGAAAGAATCTAATGCAAGAAGAGAGTATATGAGAATCTGAATAGAAGAACATCTTTGACAAGAAACTGGAGATCAATACAAGAGGAGGAATGAGAACTGATAGATTAAATAATCTTCTGCTCACTGAAGCTAATTATCGACAACCTATCTGTGGTGGATAAAAATATAAGCCATCATTTTTGGGACACAGAAACATTAGTTTATAATAAACATCAAAGCAAAAACTGTCTAAAATAATTAAAATGTGAATCTAAAAGCCTTTAAATGTGCAAAGATGCTAACAAATATGACAGTATGAAGACCAATTAATCTCTAGTTCAACAGAACGAGAAGAGGTGAATAAAACTGAATAGTATTAACTGATATGTAATATCTTCTAAGCATGGAAAGCAGAAGAACAATCTGTGGATAGAATAATGAGTTCAGTTCAAAATTCTGAAGAGGTAACTAAGTACAAAAAGAGAAACCTGAAGAAAACCAGAGAGGAAAACAGGTTGAAGTGTTATAACAACTAAGATGAAGATGCTGGTCCAAATAGCAAGGCATTCATAAAAAAATAAAAATAAAAATTCTTCTCTGCTTTCAAGTTATTAATTACAAATGTATTGCAATGAAATTTCTTCTATTTATTTACAAATTTGAAGATTAAAATAAATACAATAAAACTTTGATGAATAAATCACAATGTTGATCATTTATCAGAGAAAATATTAAGAGAAACTAAAAAGGAAGGAAACAGATGTTTAATAATTAAAAACAAAAAAATAATCCCATAATAAGCTCCTGCTTGTGATAATCAAGAGGTAAATAACCAATTAAAAAAATGAAAAGTTACTAGCAAAAAATAAAATAAAAATAAAAAAATAACTGCAAAATAAGTAAAAATCAACAAAAATCATAAAGCTCTCTGTAAATCAAAACTTAGTCTATCAACATACCTTGTTTTGCTAAACTAATGTACAAATACTTCACCTTCCCATCATAATACCATTATCCATGTAGATTTATTTAAATTTCCCAACAAATCTCTTAGTAACTTTTTTCAAATTACCAACAATCAAAACTGGTAAATTTTTAAAACGACAATAAAAGAAAAACTAAAAGAAGAAACAATTTGAACATTTTGTCTATCAAATCTAAAAATAAATATTTAACAATTAAAAAATATAGTTCTTGATTGTATAATGTTAAAAGGGGCCATAATAAGATATTAACAACAAAATCAAAAAGGAAAATTGATATAGAAATGAACATACAAGAAAATCTAAGCCTGTTATTAAACAAAAATATCGATATTTGATGAAGAAAAAAAAAAGAAATTGGGAAAGTAAAGGAATTTTCAGTTGTTTGTTTAAGAGACAAAACAAAATAATCTCTAACCCAAAATAATAATCTCTAACCCTTAATTTTTACAATGTGGTCAAAGATATGTTTTAAAATTTGAAGACAAAGATGAATTCACTTCTTTTATTTCTTAGATGAAGCATTGTCAGTTATTTTTAATTTTCCAGTTAGTATTTCTTGAAACTGAAATTAAGATGGAAAAGAATTAAAAATGCTTCAAAGGAGAAATTAAAGCAAGAAATAGAAAAAAAATTATAATTATTGAATTTTAAACAAACAAAATTTCTCCAACAGAAGTTTTTTTATATAAAACTTAAATGATTATTTATTCTTTAATAGAAAGGAAAACAAATTTTATTGACTTAAATGTTTAATTATTTACACTATTTACAATGTTTAGACTGTTATCCTCATCTTTGTTGCCATATTCATGATGTTCTGGCTGTACACTCCAGCATAGGTGATTAGAATTTTGAATGAAACCATTTATTTCATCCACCAGAGTTGATATAATTACAATACTGTAGATGTAATTCACTTCTGTCGCACAGTGTTAACAAAGACTGGCTTTTATTGTGGCTAGCATGATCACTACACAGACTTTCGGTCACATGAGACATCACCCAGTCCATGCAGATTTCATCTCCCGTGCAAAACGCAGGCGATGTTATGTTGGTATTTACTTGATTCCCACAAAATCAAGATGTGACACAAGGCGATGTTATGTTGCATACACTGGGGAGGGTGGGAACAGGTTATGTACACTACACTCCCCACTGATCTCACTATCACACAGGTAGCAGCTGGGGGGCAGCCTTTTATATCTGCTGCTCCTTCAAAATTGCGGTTGGGAAGGCACACTTGCTTCTTGAGGCAGCCTTGTCGTGATCTGTCAATCTTCATCATCATCACATCAGTTGAAAGGTAGTCTTTGTCTTTCGTTACAGGTATGTACATCTGATCATCACTTGACACAGCATGTCGACACCTTTCATTTGGACTTCAGACTGGTACAAAGCATCGGCCTAAGCAGTTGCACCATGGGTGACATCCTTTGACATAATGTTGTACCAGTAAACCACTTTCTGAACAGAGCATTGCTTTCTGGCAATCTGTTTTATGGATCTGTTTCCAGATGGCACATCATAAACGAAGACAGACCCTAAATCACCAACTCTTGACAAACGTTCTAAAGCTCCTGCTGTTAAACGCCATGTCATTATCTGTCAAGATCTATTTTGGTGGGCGCCTCTCAATAAAAATAGAGTTAAAACATTCGATCACAGTTGCTGAAATAGCTTGTAGATGTAATTTGCTCCTGTCACACTGGCAAAGTCCCTTCAAGTTTGTTGCTAGTGTTAACAAAGGCTGGCTTTTATCATGTCTAGTAAAATCTCTGCACAGCCTTTTGTTCATGTGAGACATCATCCAGTCAATGCAGATTGAGTCTCTCATGCAAAGCGCAGGTGATCTTATGACCGGGGGGTGGGGATGTGTACACTACAAATACCTCATCTCAGAAATATAGACAGGTATTAAATGTTTAATTTCCATTATTTCACCTTTTTTGAGACTAGTCACTTCATAGTTTTTAACATTTTGGCCGATATATAAAGGACCTTACTGGATTAGTTATACACCGATTTTTCTCATTTGATCGACTGACTGATTTGTTTTTACCAGCTTATCAACTTTTTGCTGGTTATTTAAAGTTTAAAAATATTTTTAGATTGTAAGTACCTTTTTTTAACATAATAATGATTTACTGATTCAAGTCCTACTAATTTAATCTATAGCTGGAAAAGAAGAAGTGGATTCACAACTTTCTGATTTCCAATTATGAGCCAAGCTTACAGCACCTGGTATTCCCAAGTGGTCACTCATCTAGATAGTGACCAGTCTCAATATTTCGTAACTCCGGTGATCATATGAGAACCAGTGTTTCAACATGACATGGCTATAAGCCTTTTCTCATTTGAAGAATTGAAGTTGTATTTTCTGTAAAAAGACTGAATACGACAAACTTATAGAATTAATAATCCATGTCACATCAAGTCCAATTGAGTGAAAGTGAAGGCTGCAAAAAATGATTATGATAGATGTGAAGTAAATAAAAATTGATTATTTATTAAGACAATCATCCAATATGAAAGGATGTAAAGAATGAAAATTATATAAACTTACATTAGGGAGATCTCGCATTTCATTCACGATCAATTCAAAAATTGAGGAAAGTGTAACCAATGGATCAGTTCGTCTACGATTTGATGACTGCTTCGGTTTCTGAAATTGGAAATTCTATAATTGACACAAGATTACTCAATTCTGTCATAACAAAAAAAAAATTTTTTTAATCAACTCAAATTGGAAATTTTAATATAATCTTTTAGTTTAATTAAATTTAATTTCTAATTAAGGAAAAAAAAGAGATCTGAAATTGTATCACTTTTTCTATTCACCCTGAGAGAAAATTTTAATCAGATACAAATAAATACTTACATTATATGGCGCCTTATTGTGCAAATATTTATTTTGAATGCTTGTCAAAACAGAGAAATAAACACTACAACAGGGTGACAATACTGATTAAACATTTTTCTACATGAGAAAACCTAATGAGGATTTTAAGCAGGAAACAAAGATGGAAAACCCTCAAGGAAACTAATCAAGTGTCAAAGAGAATAAGGAAAGAAAGACCAGATTAAAAATAATAATTAGAAGCCATAAGATTCAGAGGAAAATTTGAAACTGAAATAAAGTAGAATTCATTATGATATAGTAAAATGAGCTCTAACCAAACCTATTCACTTGGTTCTAGGGCAATATAAGTTTTATGGTTTTCTGAATTTCCCAAATTCCATGTAAGAATTCTTGCTATGTTTATACAAAATACTATTATTCCTCAGTTGTTTAAATTGTTATCAAAATTCAGGCCATGGGTTTGTTCAGAACATATTCCATAGAGGGACATATGTTACTGAACAAAAGGTCATATGAATATCTTATCAAAAAAACATGCAATACATCAATGTCTGAGAAGAGGTACAAACTTCCTTACATAAATGGAGAAGTTGACGGAGCCAGACAGACAATAAGATAACAGAGATCTGTTCATAAGCTTTCCCCCTGCCCCTCTTGCTTCTACTGTCTTCTGCCACAAACAAACCCACAGGCACAAGCCCAAATCGACAAGAATATCATGCAAGGACCATGGTCTCCCAAATTACTACTAGAATAATTTTTCTGACAAAAAAATTGTCAACCAGGTTCTCAATTTGTTTTCATTAAATCTATTATTAGGTAGCATCAGAGTTTGTATGAAATTGGCTTTTATCAGAAACAAAGAAGTTATCATGGCCCACCAGGTTTCATACCTGAAATCGCAGTGGGAATCACAACAACTACTGCGTAAAATCCATGTAAAATCTGGTTACTTCCCAGCTTGCTGATGTCAACATGCAATGGCCATGAAGATCAAAACCACCATCAAGTGACAACACCAAGAATAATAATTTTTTGGTAGCATTGAGATAGAGAATGGCAGGCAGATTGATGAAATGAGAGTCGGGGTTATACACAACTTGGAATTTATTTAAATACCAGTTATTGAAAATATAATTGTTAATCTCAATATGATTCACCGATATTCCTAATCCAAACCTACATGAATCATGTTTCCACATCTTTTATGCTGACATCATACCAAAGAAATCTTATGTGATAAAAATGTACAAAAGAAAAAAATCCCAAATATTCTTGATTATTATTGATGCAGTATAAGAGGAAGTAGTAGTCATTACCTTTAGATAGTCACAATGTACAACTGTTCCTGTGCGACGTTTCTTCTTAGCCTCCACAGCTTGTTTGGGAAATTTGAGCAATAAAGATTTGCGTCGCATTTGATCAGCACTAAAAAGAAATAAAGAATTATTACTTAAGACTTCATTAAAGACACAACGAGTGATTATATAATTAAGCAAGAAGGCAATTCAAAACAAATAATAAAAATTTTAATAATGATTCAATATAATCTGCTTGTAAAGAGATGAATGGTGCAAATAATTTTCAATTTTATTCCAAACTGAAAAGAACCAATACTTATTTATTGATCCTGATGTTCTTTCTTTTTTTTTTTTTTTTTACATCATAAAAATTATTATTTACACATTTTACATTGTTTGGACTGCTGTCCACATCTTGTTGCCATATTCACAACGTTTCAGCTTGTTATATACCATGTCCTTCTTCAGGTAATTGGAATTTGAAACCGAACCCTTTATTTCATCCAATGGAGTAGATTGTTCTAGGTCCATGTGCCATGCCTCTTCCAGATGTCTCAGTATCAGTTATCTCCCTTTAACTCAACTCTCCAAGTTTTTGTTAGCCAGTTATTGAACTCACAACTTTCTGGATCAAGTCAGTGGATTCAACCAATGCTTTTATCTATTGAGTTATGAATTCAATATATGGCTACAGCAAAGGTGAACAAAAACTTGGAGAGTTGACTTAAAGGGAGATAACTGATACTGAAACATCTGGAAGAGGCATGGAATGTGGAACTAGAACAATCTACTCTGGTAAACAAAATAAAGGGTTCTGTTCAAAATTCCAATCACCTGAAGAAGCCTGGAGTTTACAATAGCCAAAATGTTGTGAATATGGCAACAAAGATGAGAACAACAGTCTAAACAATGAAATAATGTAAATAATTACAATACCTCATCTCAGAAATATACACACATATTGCTTATACTTCTTTTCATAATCTCTAACATTACAAGATATGTCTATGTTAAAAGTGAAAATTATAATGTTGAACTTAGATATGAACCTTGATATTTGTGTAGTGAGTCCTAATAAAAATAAAATATATAAACAAAAATAAAAAGAATAAAATAAGGCAATTGCTTTCCCCTTATATCTTTCTTTTTCTCTCTCTAAACTTCTCTCAACTAACGAGAAGGCAACCTTCAATTAAAAAGAGTAAGAAGAAGAAAAGATTGAACCCGGCCCCAAAAAAATGTTATCCTCATATTGTTGCCATATTCACAATGTTTCGGCCATTGTATGCTCCAACCTTCTTCAGTTGATTGGAATTTTGAACTGAACACTTTGTTGCGTTCACCTGAGTAGATTGTTCTAGTTCCACATGCCATGCCTCTTCTGGATATCTCAGTTTCAGTTAATTCCCTTTAGCAACTCAACTCTCCAAGTTTTTGCTCACCTGTGCTGAAGCCAGGTATTGAACTCACAACTCTTTGAGTCAAGTCACTGGATTACTTCAACAAACACTTTTATCAACTGGATATCAACTGAAGAAGGCTGGAGCATGTAGTGGCTGAAACGTTGTGAATAGGACAATAAAGATGAGGATAATTGTCCGAACAATGTAAATAGCATAAATAATTGCAATACAGGAATATCAGAAATATAGACAGATATGAACTGAAATGAAAAAACTGCATTGTTTTTGTTGCATTTTACTTTCCTAAAAGGAATATAAGATGTTACTAACTGTTCAACAAGATTCTTTGAAATGACAATCTTAGTTCCTTCAACATTAATGAGGTCATGGTCAGAAAGTAAATTCTTCTCTTCCTCCTCTTCTTGTTCTTCTGTCATTGCAACTTGAACCGGAGCTGAAGGACCAACCTTCTGGTACAAAGGACATTCTTTATTCGTTCGCATATGACCAATTTGACCACAAGCACCACATTTCAGCTGCAATAAACACAAGTCCAAATGTTTATCAACTTTGTACAAAAAGCAAACAAGAATAAAAATAGAGATTAATCTTTGAGAATGTTATCATGAATGTTATTTTCATTAGTAGCAAACCAAAATCATATCAAATCAACACACTATTACAAACATCAGCAAGAAATTTTAATTTGTATTTTCTCTTAACAACCAACTAATAGAATTGGTATTAACTATTGACATGTTTAAATGCTGCTTAAGTTCAAACTGTAATTTACCATTACACCAAGTTTGAATGAACATGCACACAAAATTAAATGAATAATAATTTTTTTTTAATCTTTGAATTACTAAAGGGATTTAACTGAAACTGAGTGGAACTAGAACAATATGACAATAAAGATGAGGACAACAGTCCGAACTATGTAAAGAGAAGGAATGAAATAGTGTAATTAAGAACTTGTATTATTTATTGGACAATTCATCAAAATGGCAGAATTCAGAAATGTAAAAGGAATGAGATCTCTACTGGTATCTACAAATAGCCGCTAAGTATAGCCACTAAGAAACAAGGGGTTACAGGGTTTGTAGGAATCAGGAACAGAAACATTAATAATAAGTGAGAAGAGGAAAGAGAAATCAGGACAGTAGATAGCAATTGACATTGCATTTAAATTGAGATTGAATGCAGATTAAAGCTGGCTGGAAAACATGGAGTCGGAAGAGAGTTCCACAAGTGAGAAGTGTGAGAAAAGAAACTGTCTGTTAAAAAGTGTGAGAAGAAATTGAAAATAAACATTTAACAAAGTAAGAGAGAAAGAAATGATTTTACTTTTAACATTGGTGTTTCTTTCTTCTTTTTCTTTTTGATAGGAGCAACTTTTTCTTTTTCTTGGTTCCGTTTAATTCTTCGAAGTTGTTCTTGAATCCTGAATAAAACAAAAAGCAGGAAATATTAAATGACAAACTGAGGTTTTGTTGATTTTTTTTAACCATAGTATTTGTCTAATGAAAGTCTTTCGAAATCAGATGAAGCATGGCCATTTTGAATATATTTCTAACAGATGTACAAGGAAACTTTCATAAGAGACATTGATTTTAACAAATTCATAAGCAAATATGATTTTGTATTGCTGCCTTTCAAGAGGCAATTGAGACACAAATGTTTATAAAATACTATATTTAAAAAGATAAATTTCAAATTGAAATGCAAAAACAATACCCTTACCTTCTCCTTTCTTTTTTCATTTCTTCTTTGACTTGCTCATCTAAAGTGGCAAATTGTTTGCTGCAAACAAGACAATTTTAAAGCAATAAAGTAAAGGATATACACATTGAAAACAATTTCTTTGTTAATTAAATGCCATTAACTGACATTGTTAATGATCAACTGTAAGATCAATATATGTCAATCAATCAATAAGTTTATCGCATAATAAAAAAAAGGCAACATTTAATCTCTTTTCTTGTCAATGCATGTAATTGAATCATGAATACAGAATAGAGAAAATTTCCAATTTAAATTTGGCTCATGAGTCAGGTTAGAAAATGCATCTTAAGTTACTAAACAAGAGAAACTTACATGAAGGCAGGATCTTTGGTTTGTCTGATCCGAACATAAGTGTCAATCACAGCTGGTTTCCGTACAATCTCTGATCGAGTAAATTCTCTTCCAGACTCATCTCGGAATGTACGTGTAATTTTCAGTTTCTGGCCACCCTGTTAAAAAAGAAACTCTGTTGTCAGAAGAGAAACCAAAATTTGGCAGTTTTCCTAATAAAACATCAACAATAGATATAAAAGTTAAATTTTGTGAGGAAATTTGAAAATATATATTTATGTACATATTGGTGAAAACTTGCCATAATATTCATCAGAATGAAAATCTCTGCTGAATAAAATTGTAATGAATTTTTCATTGCATGTAAAATTAAGGGGTAAAAATAAAATACAAGAAAGAAAAAAATATAAAATCAATATCAAATGTTGAGAGAGAGATAATTTTAATTTTCCTGTTTTGTTTTTTGTATCCCTCTGTCATTATTTATGGTTTTCACTTTTTATTCAAGTGAAATAAAAACCTTTTTAAATGAAAAAATATTTGTGAATGCCCAAGTGGAACATTTTTGTTTCTATGGCATTTCAACAAGAAAATCTTTTACTTTTAAAATTCCTCAAAATAATAAATCAATTTTAAATTATTTTAGGTATGGGATTATCAAAAAAATATAATTAAACACAAGAAATCATTAAAATACTAAACTGGAAAATTTTACCAATTTTCTTTTAAAACCCCAAATAAGATGAAGTAAGAGTTAGCTTGCTTTCATTCCTTCTGTATTTTATTTACCCAATGTCAATATAAACATAATTTATATTAACTTTTTTAAGGTGGCACCAATTTGAAGATTTTATTATAAAAAAAAAGCTCATGTCATCTTTTTTGTTGCTTTTTTTTTCAATCATTTAGTCAGCAGTCTGTCCAAAGCAAATGGATATATAAAAATAAATTAAACCTAGTGGCGATAAGTAGGCAAATGATATATCCATGAGGCCACCCTTCCTTCTCTTTAAAGGAAAGACAAAATTAAAAATATAGATTTCTATATTTTTTTAATGTTTGTAAATATTTGTATGAATCACTTAGACTTATTTTTGTTATATTTATTTCTAATATTTAAGATTTAAGCTCACTGAAAACAAAAACAAAAAACTCAATTTTTCTTTAAATTCTATCACATTTTAAAAAGACAGCTGCCACTTTAAAGTTTAAAATCTGTCACTGATTATTTTTTTAAAACAAATTAGTATATTTCATTTAATTCAGGGATGAAAAATAAAAAGCATTAACCTCACAACTTCCACACCTCTTCTTTGCGGCTTGTATTCAGACAAGATCAACATTATACAGCTCCGAGTAGAAGTAGACTTGAATTAAATTAAACATGTAAATGGAAGATTTACAAAAGCTCATGGAATCAGGTTTCTTGGCAAAGACTGTAAGAAAGAATGATTGATACTAATAACTATATTTCTATAATTTCTCATGAATAATTACATTTTTGATGAGAACACTACAATAGTGTATATGACTAAATGTGTAAAAAGCTTAAAGTAAGTTCTAACACAGGTCCATTTTTCAAAATGAACAGAATGTGAAAAAGAAAGAAAAAAAATTTCAATCTAACCAAAGAAGAAAATGATGATGCATCATCGTCTTTGGATCCAGCTGCAGATGAATTGGATTGAGCATTTGCTGCTTGGGCAGCTTTTTTCTTTTTCTCATTTTCATTTTCTTTATTCGTTTCTTCCATCAACATTTTTTGAAGCTCTTTTCGCATTTGCTCTTCTCGTTCAAGACTTATCTGTAACAAAAATTGGTCAACAATAAATCATGATCACTTCTTCAACAATGTTAAAAGAACAATTTTACTGCTTAAAGACCAAACTAAAAAAAAATGGGCTCAATTCATATCTTTAAATACAATACACACAAATGAATCAGGCACACAGTTTCCGCATGAAAAGAATTTTTTTCTCATACTATATTGTATCTGACAAATCTTTCATGATGAATATTTCAAAGAGATGTTATTCAAACAAGGTTTCAGTCTTGTAATTGACTAAAAAGTTGAACATCTTCATTTTATGAGCAGAAACAGGGGATGAACACAAATCTGTTAGATTACAGTTTAGGTCTGAAATTTCAGTTTTTTAAATACTAATGTTCACCCAATACAAGCTCCAAGAGCCACTCAAGGTAGAGGTTTACTGTATGATGTTGTATTAGTGTAAAAAGAGGTCAAGAAGTGCAGTTTATGAGGTTTTGTAGGAAAGATAACAGTTGATCCTAGAATTGAAGAGGTTAAGATTGTAGTGATTGGGAAAACATCCTGCTGGGAGTCTGTTTCTCAAAGTTCAGGTTCTGCTCGGTGATGGCGGAACGTTATTTGTTTGGTTTGAGCCATACTGAATTTTACAAGTCAGTCTGTCCCATATTGAGCCACCAGGGATAGATCAGAGGAGAGATCAGCTGCCAAGTTTTGATCGTCACAACTTTTGGAGGTGCACCAACAAACCGTTGTATCATATGCATAGATATTCACTAAATATCTGAGTATATCCTTAGATTGATATAGAGCAGAAAGAGATCAGGACCAAGAAGAGAACCCTGAGGAATGCCAATATTAATCTCATGGGCTCCTCATGACTGATCATTAACAAAGACCTTTATGGACCTACCTGTTAAGAAGGACATGATAATTAAGAAAGATCTTCCACAGATTTCAGAGCAGTAGACTTTATGTAGCAACCCTGTATGTTACACTGTGTCAAAAGCCTTTGATATTATCTAAGGCAACGGTCCTCATGATGAATTTATTGTCTAGTGGTTGTGAGTAATGACAGTTAATACATCAGCTGTGGATCTAGCAGGGTGAAATCCATACCGGCTATTGCTCAGAAGGTTTTGTTCCAGTTGATGTGTCCAACAATGTTCTTGCTGATTATATATTTAAAGAGCTTACTAATGACACTAAGAAGGCTAATAGGTTGATATTTTGACAGACGTGGGTGCTCATCCACATTCTTAAAAACAGTTCTACACAGTTGACATCTTCCAGAGACTTGGGAAGCATCTCTCCTTCAGGAAGCAGTTGAACAGTTTTGTCTGGATTGGAGATAAACTTTTGGCTGATATTCTTTAGAACAACCAGTGAGATTTTATCTGAACCAATGACCTTCTTAACGTCAAGGCTTTTGATAAGCCTAGACACTTCCCGTGCCATGATAGAGAATTACTTATTATTTGGATTACATTAAACAGAAATTAGAATTGGTTTGGTTTGTTTTACAGCATATCAACCTCAATGGGTCATTTAATGCTGACAACTTTTTTTTCCTGGTAATATTTTTGTTTTGTCAAAAATCTATTTCTGTTAATATTTTTTTTTCCTCAAAAATCTATAGCTGGTAATTTTATTTTTTTCAAAAACGTATAGCTGATAATATTATTTTTTCAAAAATGTATTGCTGGTAATATTTTTTTTTCTTCAAAAATTTATTTCTGGTAATAATTTTTTTACAAAGTATTTCTGGTATTAAAACCTATTTTTACACTTTCATAATGCTTTTTACCTCAGTTTCGGGGTTAACTATTTGCCCATAGATGGGACCCTAACAGATGCTACCACCCCGGGTCAGGGGGAACCTGGAAACACCAGCAATTAAGAGGTGGTTCAACACTCCACAAAGCCTCCTGATCAAAGGCCTTGCTGTTGGACGTAGTTTATCGTCTTACCCTGGACGCGGATGTAGTTTATTGTCATACCCAGGATGGCAGAAATTAGAATCGTTTCTAATTTATAAACAGTTGCACAGCAAGGTAACCATCTTTGCCTCTAATATTAAAAGTTCTTTTATTTTTATGGATTAACAAATTTAAAAACAAAAAAACAACTAAAGACAGTTAAGTTTATTTACCTGAGAACTGGTCTTTTTATTTGCTAACATATTCTCAATATTTTTACCCATTTCTTCAAAATCAGAATCTTCTCCGGAACTTGAATTCTCATCTGTTGATAACACTTCAGTCGATGTAAGAACTCTATAAAAGAAAAATCCCCAAGATAAACCAAAATCTAGAAATCAACAGAAATCATCAACATACAAATCCTTTCCAAAATGAAATTGTTTTCTAGAAATGCATTTGGACAGAAAGACAACATAGAAATCTCTGTTATTTATGCACATCAAAGTCTGACAATATCAAAGCCATTTTGCATAATTAATGGCAATTTATATTGAACCACTGATATAATTAGTAAAGATTATAGCATTTTATGCTTTCCTGTACTAATTAAGTATCAGCTGACAAATGTAATTACAACCTTTAAGAAAAACAATTTTTGTTAATTTTCTCTTATTTAAATAACACAGACAAAGAAACGATAAACTAATTAGTAAGAGAAAACTAAAAATCTGTGTACTAACTTATTTTGGAGATCAAATATCCGTTGACACTCTTCTTTGTAACGCTCTTGATGTTCAGCTACGGAAAATCGATTACCTCGAGCAAATTTGCTCCAACCTGAAAGGAAAATTGATGTGGACAAAGTGAATAGATATTTAATAAAAGAGGGCATGAGCATTTTCATAGAATAAATCAAATTTTTAAAAGGAGAAATCACAAGGGATTTTTATAATTAATTTGTATTTTAAAATATTGTAATATACACAATAACAAATATTTGTAAAAACTGTTAAAATATGTAAATTAAAACCAGAAGTTAAAAATTTATGTCTGAAATAAAAATTATTAAAAAATAAATCAACTTTATGTAAATATTTTTGATTTTGTTAAAGCATTTTACTTGAAGATGTTGATGGACATTTATTTTTAATTTTATTTCTTCAAGGTTTTCTTGTTATATTTTGAATATCATTTTAATCATTTCCTAACTCACCCCATTTATAGAGCCTTCCTCCTGCAACTCATTTATTAGATTTTCTCATTTTTCCTTTTTATTAAATCCCTACTTTCACTTTCTGATCTTTCAACCATCCCCATTTATTATAACACAACCCCCCCACACACACACACACACTGTATTTATTTGACGCCCTAGTGTACATTGGTTGGTGTTTCAAACAAATAATAAACTAAATAAATTATCTGTCCCCATAGAAACTATAAGTTTTCAATAACGTTATCTATGAAAGTAAAAAATCTATTAGCAAAAAGAGAGAAATAAATAGAAAAAGGCAATGAAAATCCCAAGCAGAAATATTCAAAGAGAGCAGAAGTAAATAAAAGTATATAAAAGCTTTTAAGAAAAGTGTTTGAAATAACAAACCTGTACCATCTTGACCAGTTTTAGCTTGAGCCGTTGACATAGTTCGTACAACATCAATAACTTCCCATCGAGATAATTTTTTAATCTAGACAAAGGGAAAAATATGATTTGTAGAATTTCTTGGCGATGCCTTATTTCAATTCTATATTCATCATCAAAAAAGAGTGAGGTGCTTAAGTGAAAGAATGCAAGCATCACGTTGCTAAGAAACAGAGCAGAAATAAAATGTGGCTTTCAATAAAACAAATGTCTACATTAATAAATGACAGTTTATATAATTGCTCATTAAAAGATTGGAACCTTTTTAAATCCATTATTAATTATTTCATTTAATAAGGAAAATTTGATGCATTAGGCTGAATCATTATTTAGAACTTTTTCTTGAAGCAACTTGTATGTTTGACTTGTTAGGAAAATAAATGGCTGATGTTTTTTAATGATCAATGAAAATTAAAAATGAAAATCCGTTTAACATGCAAAATCATTACCTCTGACTCCTGAACACCAAATTTCCTTAGTAATTGCTTGGCATCCTTTAGATTAAGTCTTCGTAAATCAGCATCTGTACCTGTCACTGTGCGTTTGACAGGTGTCTGACTGTTACCTTCTTCTTTAGGCTGAGGTTTGTTAGGGACTTTCACGTATGAGAAGCCTTCACCACAGCCAGTTGGGTCAGCCACACCCGTCAGATCGAGTAAACATTTACCCTTCATTGCAGATATAAAGGCCCTGGTTGTATTCCATGGAGCAGTGCGAACCTGGGGAAAAAAAAATTACTCTAGAAGAAACAAAATCCACCAAATCAAAATGTCAACATGTCTAATGAACATATAAAACATGTATAGTAGAAAACATGTATATATACATGTAGAAAACATGTATAATAGAAAAATATTAAATTCTTTGCATTAACAATAACAACTAAAAAGTAATTGTAAACACTTAGCTATAAAGAAAGATTACTTGGTAATGTTTTACTAAAAGTTTACATCTGGTGTGACGCTGAGATCCAAAGATGGATTGGGATGGTCAAGGATGCATTCCAAAATCTGGGCAGAGTACTGCGAGACAGAAGAAAAGTACTGAGCTGCTACATGATATCTGTCCTCTTATATGTCAGCGAATGTTTGACATTTTCCTCAAAGATGAAGAAGAGACTCGAGGCAGCGGAGATGTGGTTCTACAGAAGAATGCTAAGTATATCATGGAGTGAGCATGTGAGCAACGATGAGGTCTTGGAGATAATGCAAACAAGGAGGAAGCTTATACTTAACATAAGGAAGAGGCAGATGAAATTTCTGGGACACATAATGAGAAAGTAGGGCCTGGATAATCTGATACTCACAGGTGGAATAGAGGGAAAAAAAGAGACAAAAGAAAGCAACGCATGACGTACCTCGCAGACTTAAGCAAGTGGATGACAGAATGTGGTCTGGGGGAGTTGGCAGAGGCATGAAATTTATTGACAGCTACAAGGGATAGGGAGAAGTGGAGAGCAATGATCGTGTATGTCCTGAAAGGACACAGCACATAAAAAGAAAGAAAGGTGTACCTAATAGAATCAATCTGGTATTTATACTAATTAAAGATGTTTGTAATTTCGTGTAGCTAAATAGTACACAAAAATTGTATAAGGTAATAGAATAGCTTACTTCGTCGTCAATTTTCATTTGCGTTTCTTCTTCATTGTCATCTTCTGGTGCAAATAATGACTTTTCACCATATCCAGCATCCTTAAAGTAAAAGAATAAAAAAATGTATCAGCCTATAAATAATGTTGCAATATAAGGTTGAATTTTAAAAAAGCAATTAAAAAATCTCTACAACATTCTTTTACTTATTTATTTTTATAGACACAAACTGTGAAAAAAAAACCTTTGTAAAAGAAGTTTAAAAAAACTTTTATTATTTATGGAAAAGATGGAGTATTTTGTGGAGAGGAAAAAAAAAAAAAAAAAAATCAATGATTTCCCTCTTCATCTATTCAGTTGAAAATCAAATCTAAATCTACATTTTCCATGTGCAAATATATTTAACAAATTGAAAGAATCATGTTGTCCAGATCTTCAGTACAAGTCGTCTTTGACAATTCCAAGGACATTAAGTTAAAGGTTTATCATTCTTTTACAACTCTTAACAAACGTTTTTACTTTGCTTATTTTGGCCCAGTGAAAAAAAGTGTTGGTTGAATTAATCCAGTGATTTGACCCAAAGAGTTGTGAGTTCAATACCTGGCCACAGCAGAGGTGAACAAAAACATGGAAAGTTGAGTTACTAAGGCATAATATCCAAAGACATGGCATGTGGAACTAGAATAATCTACCCCCAGTGGACGAAATAAATGATTCGGTTCGAAATTCCAATGTCTATAAGCTAAAGAAGGCCAGAGCATACAACAGTTGAAACATCATGAATATGACAATAAAGATAAGGAAAACAGTCCGAACAATGTAAATAGTTACAATACCTCATCTCAGTAATATAAACAATTATTTTTGGTACTTTCCAAACTTTGTTAAAAAGAATAAGGCAAATCAAGGATACTTCTTTTTTTTTATTTTTTTTTTTAATTTGTATTGAACTGTGCCAAAGTATAAATTTTGCTTACAAATTATTTTTGTATAGATAAAACTTAAATGAGTAAAAAAAATATTATTAGTGATGTGAATTGATATTATTTGTTATACATAAAATATTTTGATTCTCCCTCATTTGAAAACAAACCTTTTAGAATGTAAAGAAATTAAATCCAAGTTCATGATGTTTCAGAAAAATGAAAAAAAAAATAACTGCAAATTGTTTTACTTCAACTAAAACAATATTGCTTTAATTTTGTTTTATTAATATGAAAAAAAAGTTTTTGAAAAAAGCATGTGAAAATAAACGCTTTAAGTAAATTTAATTCTTTCAATTAAATAAGTCTTTAAAAAATGTCCTGGAATATTGCTAATGTTTTTAAGAAAGAATTTATCCAAACTGAAAATTATTCCTAGGTTGTTTCGATAATCTTTTATTAGGTCTTTGTTTTTAATGACATAAAACAAATAACGCTTAATTCTTGACAACATCAACTGAATTCTTACTTTGAGTCTCTGTTCAGCAGCTAACATACTGTAATAACCACAGCATTGTTCCGGAGACACCATAGCACGCATCTCTTCTTCTGTTGGCAAACGGAAATCAGGTTTCAATACCCACCAGTTTGAGTCCATCCCTAGAGAGAAACAGACAGACAAATAAAAGCATGGTGATCTGGTTATCATCAACAAATTCAAAAAGTCAAATAAAATCCTTATTAAAATAGTGTTTTGCAAATAATAAAACAAACTAGAAATACATTTTATTAGAAATCAAATTTCTAAATTAAACTTCAATCAGTTTTCATTATTCTTAATGTAAATGGAGAGGAAATTGTTTGGTGATATATTCAAGAGAAAATTACAAAATTAGAAATACTTAGTTAAACAAATCAATTATTTTTCAAATAGAAGATAACATGACCAAAGAACTTGTTAAGTTTCATAAACAAAATGTATGAGTTGAGCAAATGAGAAAAAGAATTTCCCATAAAATGTTTCCCTTTCTTCATTTAAGCATGAAAAAAGATCATAGAAGTGACACTCCATTTCTACTCAAATCCTTCTGTAAAGCTGTGTATATGAAAATCACAACAAAATCAGTGATAAACATTTTCTTGAAAATAAAATGTTTTCATATACATATCTACATAGGATCATTGAATGAACTAAACTTTTTTCATACATCCAAAGTGTAATGAAATACAAATAAACAAAACCATTTGACTTGGGTGATTCATTCAAAACAAAAAAAAATTAACCTTGCACCAATGAAAAGTGCAGATATAAAAGAAAAAACGAACAATATAAGGAGTCAATTGGTGATACTCACTGACGAGTGGACGGAGTGATTGCTGAAGAGCCCATCTACAAAATTCTAGAGTTGGGATGCTGAAGGTAACACCAATCAGCTAAGTGACAAACTCTTTATATATATATATATATATATATATATATATATATATACACATACACACACACACACACACAAGTTTCATTAAAAATGACAGACAAGTTACTGCAATCAAGCTTTAATACTTGTTCTCTATTATTAAATAACATTGGTTGTCTATATTAATTGTGATTTCACATGTCCCATAAGGAACTGTGTTCCTGATCAAATCAAATTCATGAAGAATTATATCGGACATATCACTACATGCCTATCAGGAAGACTCACATTACATCTCTTTAACCATATCTCAATTAGGACTCATTTAAACATACACAGAAACCCACCAAACCCCATCAGCAACATACTCATAGAAAATACAACTATAATAGCCTTATCCACATGTAAAAAAAAGGATAAAAATAATGGAAGATGATGAAAAAGAAAAACCAACAATCAATAACATCATCTCTGAACACAGTCACAATGTGCTGACCATTTTTGTAAAATAAAAAAAAAAATTCCCGTAACTATAGATACATGCATAAAAATCTACACATTCAGTTAAAAATAAAAATAAAGAAACTTTCTAGTATAGCCAAAAACACTTGGATATACAAAACATTCACACAAATTTGACACACTTTATGTCCAGGAAAGAAAAAACTACAAGAAAAATTAAATAAAAAGTTTAACTGCAATATGTTGTCAGTTATCTTTAATGAAGCTGGTATAAAAGAGAGATTACTGCCCAAATAAACAATACATATATATATATATATATCACAATATATTAAGCATTACTGAATTAAAAGATTATACAGTGCTTTACATCTTCACAGAAGCAATGTTTTATTCCTGTCAGTCATTAAACAAGCTATTTTGGCACTAAAGGGAAATGGGTTGGCAGGGCAGGTCAAAGTAGTGATATTGTGTCATGATATTCACTGATGTGGTTGCGTGACTTAAAAAGGTTACACTGTTAGCAAAATTACAAAATATTCCTGCCCTCGTGAGCTTCATACTACTATATTTGGAAGGGGATGCATTGGCATTATACCAGATATGAAAATCCCTAATCAAATACTGAAAAGCTTACAGGAGGCATTTATAAGAACATTTGTTGCCTAAAGGAAGGCTGGTAAATATATAAAGTGAAGAGGCAAACAAGTAGATATTTACACTAGTGAAATTAGGAAACTAGCAGGGTTAGCAGTATTTGTAGGAGAGAAGTGTTGAAGAGACTCTGGTTACTTAGATCACCTATCAGTAGCCTTTCAACATTAGAAACTAACTAGGTTGTCTGTTAGGATGCTCCAAAACCATGGACACAAATAATGTGATAACCAGAAATTGGGTACCGATTGTTCATAAATTTGGCATTCAGTAGCATGAAATGTAATTAGTTCATGTCTGTTGGTAGACCCTCATACATCATTCTAAGGTAAGTTGAAGTTTTTTGGGGTTTTTTTAATCAGTATCACCTCATGCCAGATAGGAAAGCCACTAAGGCACAAAGCGGGTTACAGGGTGTGGAAGAATTAGGAACAGAAACGTTAATAATGAGCAGAAAGAGGAAAGAGTAATCAGAACAGTAGATAGTGACTGACATTGCAGAAAGACAGTAGATTGTATTTAAATTTTTGAAGATTAAAATTGGCTGGAAAGCATGGAGCTGGAAGGGAGTTCCACAAATGAGAAGTACGATAGAAGAAACTGTTAGCATAGAATTTACAGTTACATTTAGCCAGTTCGACTGTAAATTGATGAGATCTCGAAGCCAGTTTAGTACTGCACTTATATTCAAAAAGTCTATTCAAAGTAAAGATTGTATAAAAATTTCTCTCAAAAGACTTCACAAAAAATATTTTGAATAAAAATCATTTCCACTAACCAGTTCTTTTAAAATCAGCACACAACTTTAACCTTTTCCGTATGCTGCTTTCTGAATGAGAAGGAAAGGCTTTTTTAATATCATCCATTTTTATTCGTCTGGGATTATCTTTACTCTTCCAGAATAAACGATAAATGAACACCTGCAAAGAGCAAAAGAATATTTTTAAATATACCAAGTTTTCAAAAGAACACTAGTTACATAAAGTAATTTAGACATTTAATAAGAATATCATCAACATTTGTATCTTCCATACCTGGAGGAAATCACGAATAAAATTATTTGCTCTTTTTGAATTTGGACCTGGCACTTCATAAAGGGCACATTCTTGACCAATAATGTAAATAGTATTAAGCTCACGAACGTAATAACTGCAAATAAGAAACAAAAGAGTCATCAATTACATACAGACAGATTTAAGCTGAAAATATAGAAAAAAAAACAATCAATTTAGGAAATTAACTTTTTTTTAATGTTCTACAATTGTGATGTATTACAGTGAGGTATAGATTATCTCCCCTTTTACGTATTCTCTATTTAAAATAAAACAATTTAATTTTTCTTCTTTTTCAGTTTAAAACAAAATGCAAAACAAATGTTTCAACCTTTGACAAATTAGCTACAAGAAAGTTTATTTTAATTACATTTTTGAATCTCAGTACAATAAAGGTGATGGATAAAAGTGTTCAATTATGTCCGCATATCTTTTAGATTTATTATTGTTTTTTTTTATTGATTTTAAAAACAAAAACAACCTAAAAACTTATTTCTCTTGGATCTAAAAGAACCCAAAATAATTTAATGGAAATATTTTAAAATATCACTACATAAAATTATCATAATTTATAAAACACAAGTTCTTTCCAAACTTGAAAGTAAAAAGATTAAATCCAGAATCTATAATAATGGCAAAGAAAAGAATAAAACTGATTTTTAAGTTCTAACAAGATAATAAGCAATGTTAATTCAGTTTGTTACTTACTTTTGTCTGGTTCTTATAATGAGGAAGTCAGTTTCAGGCATTCGATGTTCATAGATGGGTGCCCTAAATAGATTATTCTCAAAGGCCTGTAAACACTGACCAGGTGCCAAACTACCAAGAAATGGAGATGTGTGGGCATATGCCAGTTCTCCATATTGGAATTGGGGAGGATTGGAATCTTTACCAGGCTTCTGCAATAAACAAAGAAAAAGGTTTTAGTTTTTTTTTTTGTTTTTTTTTGAGGGAGGTTTTGATTTAGAAGAAATCAATTCAAATTAGAAATGAAGTCTTTTCTCTAAAAACTGAAATGTTAAAATAGAAAATGCTTCACCATGACATAATACATCTTATTTGTTAAAATTTGAAAATTTAATTTTATATTCTAGTAAGATCAAACACTTTTTTATACTAACAATCAATCTAAAAGAATTACTTACTCTTTTATAATAATTTTTGATTTTGGTAGCCATTCCAACTTGCATCATAAGAGGAGGAAACTCTTCTGAATATTCAACTATAATAATATCACCATCCATTCCACTGAGATCTGACATGGTTCGCATAAAGAATATTTCACCTCCACCATAGGCTTGTCGTTCAACCTCTCTCATCTGAAAAAAGGCACATGAAATCAGCCAGTTAAAAAAAAAAAGAAAGAAAACTGTAAAATGTCATAATACAGAAGCATTTTTAGTTCTATAAGAATATGACGGAGTGCCAAAATTGAATTTGGTTTTTCTTGTGGGAATTACCGTCCTTGGTTCATTGTGATAAAAAGCACAATTTCTGAAAGCCTAGCTCTCTTTAACCAGAAAAATAGAACATTCAACTTTACCAACTTTCAGAACACACTAAAATATATTCACTTCATGTTATTTTCAAAATTCTGTAAAAAGAAAAATTCAAAAATATATTAATCTATAAACACTTGAATCACCTTTGAAAACTTTTTCATAAGTAAATTTCCAAGTTATAATCAATATTATATAAAATAAGATTCAAGTCATCTATCTTTTCATAAGAATTATATTTTAACAGAGAAACTGAGTAATTTTATTAAGCCCATGTGTGTTAGTTGGTAATAAACAATAAGTTTTTTTAATCTATGATTCTTACCTTGGCTTTACGTTTGATTTGTTTCAGTAAAGGCAATACGGGATGTGGACCAGTTGAAGCTAATGCTCCATACGAATAACGTTTTAATTGAGGTCTGTGGAAACAGCGTAATTTTGTTGGCCCCATGTGTGTTGGGAATAAAGGCTGTCTTAATTCTAAAGCTGGAGTAGAATGCTGCCAAAAACATAAAAAGGGAGAAAATTTTATTGTCTTCCTGTTTAAACTTTATGCCGGTAAAAAATGAAAACCAGACAATGAGAAAATTGTTTAAATGTTGTCTAATTTCAAACACAGATTCAAGGAAAAATTTAGAAAGTAATTCAAAATCTCTATTTGGAATGAAATGAATTTTCAAACAATGTATCAATATTTTTAGAGCAATAAACAGTTTTTAAAGATTTAAATGTAAAGCTGATGGTAATAAACAAAAATAAAAAAGTAATTTATCCTTAGCAAACTATGAGAGAAACTTTATTAAAATCCTTTTAAGCCCACAAGATACCTAAATCATTTATAAGGGTCAGTGTAACTATATTTGCTTTCATACTCCAAAAATCAGACAAGATTTTATGTTACTTTCAAAATATCTGGAATACTTATATGAATAATTGAAGTTTTAGCATAAATTCTAGAGTAATGCATAAGAAGTTAGTGTTGTAGACAACTGCTTGCTTAGTTGAATGAAGGCTTGTGACAGATAATGCACAATTCACATCACAAAGTCTATGCTCATTAAATTCATATTTTAAAAACAAATGAATCATTTAATGTTTTTCTAAACATTCCTAAAATACACGTAGTGGACAAAATTTTACTACAAATGATTCTTGAGGAAAAGTTTCAGCATTTTGAAACTAAAACAGAAAATTTTCACCAAAATATCTAGATTAAAGATGAATTTAAAATAGAGAACTTGTTCCAATACATTCTGCAAACAATATCAATTGCCTGGAAATCTTTGAACTTTCTTATCAAGAATTTCAATCAGACAAGCAACAACAAAAAGTAAATTCTATAGAATGTTTTGTCAAAGTAAAATAACACATTCTATTAGAAAATTTTAAATTGTATTTTTTATAACAAAAATATTTTTTCATGTGATGGCTATTTTTCCATCCCTCAGTTTATCTTTTTGTTAGAGTTGTCATATTGTGTTTCATTAGAAAGCTGAGCATTATTAAATTGGGAATTTCACTTTTGACTGTTTTTAAAATAAGTTGGTCTAACTTGTGTTACTAATAAGAAAGTCAATTCAAAATTTAGTAGCACTAGACTTTCAAATGTCACCCAATTTGTAACTTGTTAGCTCAATCTGGCAACCTTGATTTTTTTTTTTTTTTTAAGCATTGTGCCCCAAGCAAGGCGTGAAGCCACTAGGATGCAGGGGGTTGCGGAAGATTTGGAGCGAGAGCAGATAAGAGTGATAGGAGAAAGGAAGAGGAGAAGGATAGTGGGTAGATCAAGGTAATTGGAGATGTTGATTGACATTACATTTGAATAGTTGGAGATTATAGCTTTCAGGGAAACAGTAATTGGGGAGGGTATTCCACTGGCGAGAGGTGCGAGGTATGAAGCTATTGGAGTAGAAGAGACGGCTACATTTGAAGGTTTCTACGATTGTAAGGGTGAGCAGGATGCCAGCCTCAGAGGGCGCTTGAATTCATGGAGTCTGGGAACCAGAGAGAGCAGCTCATCAGAGCAGTTACCATGGAAGTATTTGTAGAAAAGACAGAGAGAGGCGACGACGCGTCTGTGAGAGAGTGACTGCAAACAAGACGCCAGATCAGGGCCAATTAGATTACATATCCGTCTCTGGATCTTGTCAAGAACTCCGAGGTAAGCAGAAGGTGCTCCAGCCCATATATGGCAGCAATACTCCATGCAAGGGCGAATGGTTGTTTTGTATATTTGAAGTATCGATTCAGGGGAGAAAAAATTTCCTGGCGCGGCACAGAGAGCCAACTTTCCTCATGGTGGAAGAAGCAATTGACTCAATGTATTTGTTCCATCTCAGGTCAGCAGTCAGCGTGAGACCGAGCAGACGCAGGGAGTTGCTCTCAGGAAGTTGACTATCAGACATTTTAATGGGGGGCAGGGAAGGATCTCTATGGTGGTTAATGGAGAGTAATTTAGTTTTTGTGGCGTTAAAGTTGACCAGCCAATTCTTGCCCCAGTTAACAACCGATTGGAGGTCCATTTCAAGACGCACGGCAAGGTTAGTTTTGTTGCCGACACTAGACTTGTTTTTGAGGCAGGAGTAAATTGTAGTGTCGTCTGCATAGATGCCGACTTGGGAATCTATAGCTTCAGGAAGGTCATTGATGAAAATAAGGAAAAAAGAGGGGGCCAAGGATGGAGCCTTGGGGCACACCTGCGTTAGTGGGATAGGAACTGGAGGAGAATCCGTTGAGAACGACCTTCAATTCTCGTTAGACAGGAATGATTGTATTAGATCAAACAGTTGACCAGTAACACCATACCCCTGGAGCTTACGAAGAAGGCGGCGTGCCAAACCCTATCAAATGCTTTGGAGATGTCGAGGGCCACAGCACGAGCCTCACCGTTATTTTGAAGGGCTTGGTAGACAGTTTCAGTGATGGCCGTAAGCACATCAGCTGTAGATCGGGCGTAGCGGAAACCATATTGCTTGTCTGAGAGCAGATTATGGGATGTGAGGTGATTAACCACTTCGGCATTGATTAGGGCTTCGAAGACTTTGCCGAAGAGGGGTAGGAGACTAATAGGACGGTAATTAGTGGGGTCAGAGGGGTCTCCAGAGTTCTTAGAGGATTAAATACTTAGCAGACTCTAGGATATAATTTGGTGAATTTTATGAGTGAGACATGGAGCGAAGTTGTCATCAAGTGATTTTACAAAAATAATGACATTTATTCTTAATACAAATAGAATACAAACAAAAAAGGCATTAAATGATGTGTAAATCAAAAAAAAAGAAATTATTGCAGTACCAAATGATCATCCTTTCCAGGCAGCTTGGAGGTGGAGGACTCTCATCTGGAAATTATCAAACAATCATTTTTATTAGCTTGAAAATAATGTTGAAAAAAAAACCTACTTGAATAAGACTTCCACCCATATTTGTCCGTAGAGCATTGTCCATGGTGAGCTTAGGGTTGTAGTACTCATCATTAGACAAATTAAATGGATCTTTCCGTTGTACATTGGGAGTGATCTGAAAAAAAAAGGAGATATTTTAATTTGAATAAATGTATTTCCTTAAAAAATAAAATTAAATCATTACAATTCTACAGGTGATTCAAAACTTAATATCTGGCAAAAAGTCAAAGTAAATATGTTAAACCATCAGAGAAATTAAATAATGTATTTTTTTAGTAGATATGAAAATATTAATTTAACATAGGTGTAAACTTGTTACCCAATTTACAAACTAATTTGAATTTTGTTTTTATGCTTGTTAAAAGCTTAAAGCAAAGGCTGTTTCTTCTTATTCAACAATTCCAGTTTTTTTTTTTTAAATTTAAAATCCTATCTTCTGTGTTTAATTTTTATAAAAAATTATTTCAAATATACTGAAATGGGATAAAATGAATTTGAAATTCAACAGAAACAGTTAAACATAAAAGCGAAAGAGGGAACATGAAGAGAGAGAGAGAGAGAGAGAGGGCTTGAAACAAAATGGATTAAAACTTTTTCAAGGTACATAACTCTCTCTTCGAACCTCACGATTTATTATTCTTTAGATACATCTAGGTATTCACTCTCAAAGGCCAATTTAGCATAATTAAATCTTTTTAAAGAGCTGGCAACATTCAACAAAAGTAGGAATATCTTTTACAAAGATGATGATATGAAAGGGAATTATAGAAAATTTGTACCTCTTTTTCTTCCTCCTCTTCTTTGATGATTCCTGCTTTACCAAGCAAAATCTTGGACTTTTTAATTTCCTGTAATTAAGTTACAAAATGAAAAACATTTTTCTATACAAATGATTTTTATTCTCTTTATTTTAATGACATTCCAAAGTCATAAACTTGATAACCCGTTTATGCAACACAGAGAACACTATAGTAATTACATCATTCTCTTCTTTTTGCAGCTTTAAAAAGATAGGTTTTTACATGAATCACCTTTAAATTTTCATGTTGAGAAGTAGCAGTTTGCATATTGCAACAAGTTTATTTCTTCTCATTATAAACTCGTCTATTGAGTAAATGTAAGTCAGTCTGGATCAAGTGGGAAACAATTTAATTTATTTCACAGACTGTACATATTTCACATTGCATTCTCAGAATTTATTGAAAAAGCAGGAAAATTAAAAACCTAATTGGATAAAGAGACAGATAAACACTTTTCTAAATTATTTTCAATTAAGTTAAATTTACTAATCAAACATTCAAATTGAGAAATTATTATTTGTGTCAAGAAATTATTTCATATTTTTTTTACTTATATTTTGAAATATTGAAACTGATGCAAACATTAAGTTAAAGAAATTAGTTTTGAGAAATTGTTGGCCATTCCTGATAAATATATTTAAAATTTCAATCATCAAAAATGCTTTTGGAAATAAAACTGTTTATTGAGCAAATGACAATGAATAATTAAAAAAGGAAAATATTCCTGACCTTTTCCTTTTTGGCAGGTTCTGTCTGTTCATTGGGATCAATATCTGCTGGGATCTCAAGAATTATGTTTTCATCATTTGGATCAATAGTAAATATTGGGGGTGTTGATATATTTTCCATACTCTGAAATAAACGTACATGCAATGAAAAGACCAAAAAGGTAGTCTATCAATCCATTTGGAATAGTCCAGGACAAAATCCTTATTTTGTCATTCATTTTCATCAAAAATATTTTGTACGTTAATCTGAAAAATTGGAAAAAATTCTAGCGATTAATTAAGAACACAAATTATTTTACCAATTCATTAAGCAAATTATTCTACCGATTCATTTACTTATTCTTCCAATTCATTAAACACACAAATTATTTTACCGATTCATTAAACACACAAATTATTCTACTGATTCATTAAACACACAAATTCTTCTACCGATTCATTTACCTATTATTCCAATTCATTAAACACACAAATTATTCTACCAAATCATTAAACACACAAATTCTTCTACCGATTCATTAAACACACAAATTCTTCTACTGATTCATTAAACACACAAATTCTTCTACCGATTCATTTACCTATTATTCCAATTCATTAAACACACAAATTATTCTACCAAATCATTAAACACACAAATTCTTCTACCGATTCATTAAACACACAAATTCTTCTACTGATTCATTAAACACACAAATTCTTCTACCGATTCATTTACATATTATTCCAATTCATTAAACACAGAAATTCTTCAACCAAATCATTAAACACACAAATTCTTCTACCGATTCATTAAACACACAAATTCTTCTACCGATTCATTAATCACACAAATTCTTCTACCGATTCATTAAACACACAAATTCTTCTACTGATTCATTAATCACACAAATTCTTCTACCGATTCATTTACATATTATTCCAATTCATTAAACACAGAAATTCTTCAACCAAATCATTAAACACACAAATTCTTCTACCGATTCATTTACCTATTATTCCAATTCATTAAACACAAAAATTCTTCTACCAAATCATTAAACATGCAAATTTTTCTACCAATTCATTAAACACACAAATTCTTCTACCGATTCATTAAACACACAAATTCTTCTACTGATTCATTAAACACACAAATTCTTCTACCGATTCATTAAACACACAAATTCTTCTACCGATTCATTTACCTATTATTCCACCATTTCATTTACCTATCCTTCCAATTCATTAAAAACAAACTATTCTACCTATTCATTTACCTATTCTTCCAATTCAATAAATACAGAAATTATTCTACCAATTCATTTAACACACAAATTTTTCAAGCTAAGATTTTTAATAAGTGAGAAAATTCCTTATTTTGGAAATTAGGATTTGAATAAAATGAAAAATAAAAATCCATTAAGTTTGAGCAATAATTTCAACAATACTTTTTCTATGAATATAGAAAATGGAGTTTAAAAATAGATTATAAGCCAAGTTTTTACCTCAGGGTCCCAGATGATATTGTCTTCCCAGTTCTCATAAACTAGGGCTTCGTTCTCAACAGGAAAAATAGAGCTCCAAGTTGATTCTTTTGACTCCCCATTTTCTGAAATGATAAAAAAAATATATACACACACATATTCGTAATCAATTAGAAATTATATATTAATCCCAATCCTGAGTTTGGTAAGCCTATTTTAACCAAAATCCGTGCACCCATATCGTTCTTTGATTTTAGATATTGTATAACAAAATTAACCATTAATTTCTCAGGCCATATATCAACATACATATTTTTTCTCTCCATTGTAATTGCTGCTTCCTACTCTGCTCATCAAATCACATTCACTCTACTACTGTTATCTTAATGCTTGTGGCTAATCTACTAATGAGTCTACTTGGATAGTAAAACTTACTATTTCAGTGATGATAAATAATGTTCAATGCTATTTTTTTTACCAACATTGGAATATAACTAACCTAACCATTATTTAGCCACAAACAATTATATGCTACATTTTTTACAGACAGGTCATAGCAAAATGTGCGCAATAAAGTAACACGGGCTTAAGCAAAAAGGAAAAATGTTTTAAGATCAATTTTGTTGTATATGTGAAACTCTTAGAAATCAAGATTAATGGTGATTTTTTTATCAAAATTATTTCATACACCACAATTTAAACAAAATATTTTTCATTTCCTTTTTTATTATTAAAATAATTTCTCTTCTTTATTTACAAATACTGTTAAACATTCAAAGAACTGACAATTATTTAAATAAATGTTATGAATGGAAACATGAATTTTAATTTATTATTTGATTTCTGTTGAATGTATTGTAGTATTTTTAAAGTGTTGAAATAACTTTGAAAAAAAAAGTTGCTTTAAACAAAATTAAACAACTTACCTGAATGAAACTGAAGACCTACTTTAGAATTTAGTCCAGGGTTTGTTGAATTCCGAGCAGGTACAATGAATGACTTATTTCCTAAACGATCTGAAATTTTTAGAGATTTTTATTTTTAAAGGTTGTAAAATTTGAAAATTATGGGGTAAGAAACAATGTTAATTCCAAACTCTAAGAATTTCAAATGATTACAAAAATAAATTTGATAAACACTAAAATATTTGTTCATTTGACATTCAACTTTAAAGAATGTTTGATTCTTTAAAAAAAAATGCCCTGAATAAATTTGTGTTTAACATTTTCCAGATGGATTTGGATATTTCCTTCATGTCCATGGAAACAACCAAAAACAAATATCCTTGATGTTGGTTAGATCCAGTGACTAGACCCAAAGAGCTGAGTTCAATACCAGGCCACAGCAGTGGTGAACCAAAAACTTGGAGAGTTGAGTTAAAGGGAAATAACAGAGATATCCAGAAGAAGCATGGCATCTGAAACTAAAACAATCTACACAAGTGGATGAAATAAAGGGTTCAGTTTGAAATTCCAATCACCAGAAGAAGGCCGGAGCGTACAATGGCAGAAACATTGTGAATATGGCAATGAAGATGAGGATAACAGTGTGAATAATGTAAATAATGCAAGTAATCATAATACCTCATCTCAGAGATATAGACTGACAATTACTTTCCGTACAAACAATTTTTATTTCATGGATGACTTTCGCTGGATTTCACAATTAATTTCAATTATTCTCAAATTTATTTCCAAGTTATAAAAATTATTATCACACAAAAAATGTTGTAAAAAAAAAAAAAGATAAAAATTTTTTTAAAAATCACCCAAAACAATAGCAGTAATGAAAACTTGAGAATCCAAAATTTCTGTAGCATGAGCTATTGAAAATTAGAGAGTTGTGTTCTTTTAATTGAAAAAAGTGTGAACCAGCAACATACTGATATTCACATTATATATACATATATATATAGTTAATTTGAAAGACTGCTTCTGAAACCAAAATTGCTGGTAAGGAAGTATTTAAGGCAAGGAGGATTTGTGCTAGAGTGCTCAATATTGAAGGTAGAGATATTCATAGAATTAATAAAAAGTTTTCACTTAAAGTGAAAAAATTCTCTCAAACAATTTTTCAATGAATTTTTATCATTGTTTTCATTCTTCATCAAATTTTAATTAGAATAATTTATAAATTTTTTAAAATTGTATTAATTTGTATGGTTTAGGTAACATTGTTAAGTAAAAACTAAAAACTCTATTTACTAATGGAAAAGCTTTTTACAATTCAGTGACCCCCAGTATTTTGAACAGAATTTTGATTTTATCTTGTGTTTATAAATGTGCCAATTTTTTGTAAATATGGACATCTATACATGACATTATCAGAAAATAAGAGAAGTATAGTAAATTTAAAGCCAAAGTATCTAAAATTCAACAAAGAATTAGATTACAGACAATATTTTCCTAAATTTTTAAGATTACTGAGTAGTTAAAAATTATACAAAAAATGCACTCCATTTGTCAAGTAATTTTTACAGATATGTCTTCCCCTGTAGAAAAAATTAGTTAAATATTTGGTTGTCAATAAAGCTCATTTTAAACTAAAAGTAAAATTTGTTTCAAATCAAATTAATTAAACTTTAAATCAGCTATTCTTCCTCTAATAAAGTTTCAAAAAAGTATATTTTATTTTTGAAAGATATTTTATAAAGAGAATTACATTGTGCTGACAGATTGCTAAAATCAGCCATTTTTAGCTATTTAAAAAAATAACTCCTTTAAATCAATTTAAATTAGTTTTAAAATACAGGAAAGTATTTTGCTTATTGGAAATATTAAATCTAATCTATTAGCTTGAAATTAAAACTAAAATAAAACCTTCAAGAAATTAATTTTAAACCTTATATCTACAGTGCTGTTTTCCTGCAACATAGAGGTGATCATGCAAAAAATATGAAGTTTGATTGATGCCAGTATTCTTGAGAGATTGTCTTCATACATTTTTGATGGTCATGCATAAATAAAATCACTAGGCACTGAAGTTATCCATGTTGAATTAAGAGGATCCTAACAATCCTGGCATATCTACTTTTTTGCCAAATTTAGTTCTGATTATTGCTTCAATGATGTGTGGGACAAGCTGCTTGACAGCTAAGTCATATGGTACTAATTTGGAGGGTTGAGATTTCTGAGAAACATGGTGGATGTCTCAACATTTAATTGAATTCTGTGGGGAGAAACACCAGGCAGTTCCAAAGAGTTGAGGAACTGATTTTGATTCTAAACAATCCCCAAAGTACTTGGAAATGTATCAATTTACTTCTACAACTGATCCTCTCCAAGGATCTGTTGCAACAATTTTGAATTTATTTCTTTGATTGTAACATTCTTTGGAGCAATAATGCCTCACTCACAGAGCCATTAGTAGTTTCTGAAGTTTTGGTGGGCCATTTTTCTTTTTAAATTTAAAACAACTGAAAAAGTTAAATCCTGAAAATGTTAGAAATTTTGTCTGAAACGTTTTTCAGGATTTACAAACAAAACAGAAAAAAAAATTCCCCTCTTTTTAAAGCTTATAAAGAAAAAAATAAATAAATATCTATTTCAATCCAACATGATCTCTGGTGATGTCCAATGACCTTAGAGATCAGCATCACCTATCAAATCATCATCTTCTATTCAAGTAACCACTACATAATTTACCCACAAATATTTAATTGTTTGGCTGCAAAACAGATCATAAATGTCACAAGTAATACTACTGTTGAAATCTTGGAGGTTGAATTGGAATCTTATCTTCGCGACTATTTGAGGTCAAAAAAACATCTTTTTTTTTTTTTATTTCAGTCCATTTGGCTAGAAATTATATACTATGCTATTTGATGACCTCCATGGTCAACGCCATATCTTATGTTATTGAGGTCTTTTGATTATCCATGCAAAATACCAGCTCTCCTGGAATGTATAAACACACACACAAAATTTGACATCTTAGTATAGAGGGGTTAATTTGTACAGATAACCACACAAAGTGAATTTACATTGAAACTACCCTAAAACTGATAAAATTTAAAATAGATTTAGTCTTCAGAAAGGGTTCATAAAAAAAAAAATATTCTTAAATAATTCAGAGGAAGCAAATTGCATTTTTGCATATCAATGTTGAAAAAGAAAATTATGCAATAAAGCAAGTTTAATTCTATAAAAAATTCCAATATTTCAAATGTGTTAAATAAAAATGAAATTTACTCATTTGCTAAAATAATCACATCAACATTTGTAAGAAAAGAAAATTAAAAAAACTGGAAACTGACTTTGTTGTAGAAATTGTCCAGCACTACGGAAGCTTGTGCTTGGGATCCACCCAGCTGCTGGTGCTCGAAGTTTATGAGATTGCAATACTTTGACACGAGCTTCTTCTCCATTCCAAATTACTTCATCTTCCCAATGTACCTGGGTAACCATCTCAAATATTTCATCAGGAAAATTCATACCATTTTCACTTTCATTTCTAATGTCCTCAATATCTTCAGATATTGAGTCCTAAGTAAAAAACAAAGAAAGGCAAACATGTTAAATCTATTGATTCTTCAAAAGTATTGAAATTCCTTTGCAAATTCACTATGACAGACAGAAATTCAAGGTCTACTTGATGATGATAGAATATTACAAGTTTGTTTTTTGATGTAGTGAATGTGACCAGCCAGTTTTTACTCCATTGAATTGTTCAAATTAGTTCAGTTGCCAAACTCTGATCATCTAGATCTTTGGAGATGCATGCATATCACATTTTATCATCTGCATAGATATTCACAAGTGACTGGAATATGCTCTTAGGCAAATCCTTAATATAAAGCAGGAAGTGGGGTTGAACTGAGAAGCAAACCTTTTGGAGGTGGGTGCCTGCATTGATCTGATGGGCCTCAGAGAACTGGTCATTAATGATGACTGAAGGATGTGATAACTGAGAAAACTCTTCCAGTGATTCCATAACTGGAGAGCTTGTATATCAACCCCATATGCAACAATTTGTCAAAGGCCTTCAATATGTCTATTGCCTAATGCCTTGCTAATTCTGTGATTAATGACACTTAAGACATCAGTGGTACACTGAGCAGATCAAACCCTGTATTGTTTGTCATGCAAGAGGCTGTTCCTGTTGAGGTGCTCAACAACTTTCTTGTTGATTATATCCTCAAAGTTTGCTCATAACACAGAAGGTAAAACCTCCTGAACTGTAACAGAAATATTTACTAAAATTTGGGGGAGGGGATGGCTTGTCATTTAAGTTAGAGGCAATGATGGCTGTAGACAAGCATTTACTCATTTGAAAGCAATACACCTGATAAAAGGTTATTTTGTTCATTATTTTCTTACATTAAGAATCTCTCTCAAAAGAATCTCTACAGAGTTCTAATTTTTTTTTAACAATACATGTTAAGCTAATTAAAAATTAAGTGAATTGTAATTACATTTTAAAACCAGTTTATTTAAATTTATTAAATTCATTTTTACTGATGAACACTTAGATTTAAGATAATTTAAGAATTTCTTCCAATTTTTGAAAAAACTTTTCCACATCAAAAATCATCTTCAAAGAATTTAAACCAAAGCAGAATCATATCTAATAGACACATATTTAGTTAAAAAATAGAAAATCTCAAATTTCTAATCTTTTTGTAGAATTACTCAAAATCAAATTATTGTTTTGAATACTTATTTCAAATATTCATATGTGCAGCAGATTAAGTTCTGCTTCTTAAAATCACTCAAAACGGCCTTTTTATTTTAATTTAAAAAATTTCAGGTGTTTATATTCAATCATATCACCTGATGATGGCTGGAGTATTGTTATATTAAACACCAAAGAAATCACAACTAATAAGCTACAGAAATCTTATTAAAAATAAAAAATATTTTATAAATACAAAACTCAAGATCATTTCAAAAGACAAAACAAATTAAAAAATATTGCATATCTTAAATCAGTCATAAGCAAACTGCAGTTTGCGGTCCACATATGACCCGTATGCTCTTTCCAAATGGCATGCTTAATTTCATAAGCAAAATAACGTTTCTTAAAATGTTTGTTTTTGTTTTGTTCTCACTTGTTCACTCACACTCTCTCATACATAAACAATGATTAAATACAATGTTTTTTGAATTTGAAGTTTCAAGGAACTGACGTTGTCAGTATTTTAAACCATTGGCAATTTTTACTAAGGGAGATTATACATGTAAACATCTTTTGCTTTTGAAACAGATTTCCTTGTGGTTCTAAAGAAGTTGTTCATAAGAATCATTTCTCTAAAGGAAAATTGTTTTTATTTTCAAATGAATAAATTAGAAAGAAATCCAACATAGTAACATGTGTTAATCACACTGTCATCAGTGATAATATATGAAGACTTCAATTTTTTAATTATAAAAGAAATATTTTCTAAAAAATAGAACTTTCCTACCATTTCTCAGGTATATGCTCACTCATATGGTTTTCTGTAGTGAAAATAGCTGAGGTAGCTACAACAAAAAATTACTTTGAATCTTTTTAGTGGTGCGACCTGCCTTGTGACGAGCCATAGATCATGTGGCCCACTGCTTGAAAAAGGTTGCCCATGCCTGTTTTAAAATGTGTATTCTAGGAGCATCACAAAAACTGGTTAATGTCTTTTAAAGATCTGAACATTTTATGACATTTGCATAACAAGAATAAATAATGATTTTATATATATATATATATATATATATATATATATATATATATATATATATATTCAAAGCTTACTTTTAATTTGAAACCATAAGAAAAATTTTCTCCAGTTTCATCAATTCCCATCAGATCATACCAATATTGGGCTGGACCAAAGCGCCAAGGAGGGACTTCAAATTTTTGCTCTGTGTCAGCATTTTTGTCTTGCTTACTAGTTGACAAACGATTCTCTATTGGACGTAACAAAATTTCCTGTCAAAATAATTATCAACACATAAGAAAATAATTTCAAAAGAACACCAGAAAATAAAAGAAATTATGGGAGAATCAATTCAGTAAACTAAATCATTAGATTTTAATGTGTAACGTTACAAGCTGACCTACCATTATAAAATAGTACCTCAAAAATATTTTTTAAAGAATTGGTTGCAACTGGTTCAGAATGACTGACAAAGCTTTTTTCTCTTTTCCATTTACAGATGCATTAATTTTATCAATCACTTTAGCTCTTCTATTTAGAGAAAAAAAAAAATAATTATAGACAAATGTTTTCAGCCATGAGACAAAAGAAATTCAAACAACTTTTTTGAATTTGGATTTATTTTCAGGAAAAATAGACATGTTACAAAAAGTAAATACTTAAAAATTTATCAAAAATTGTCTATGGCATGTTTAATGGCTGAGATAATTGTCTATTTCCCCGTGGCATCAGAAATTGGTGTTAGAATCTCAAGTACTAAATTTGAAGGTAGACAGGCCTACCTCACCTGGAAAAGTGGTGCAACACAATTTTCTTAATTTATTTTTCTATTGCATCTGACTAAGATTAATAAATATCTGAAAATAAGATAGAATTAATAAAACAATCATATTTTATGGCAGCATATCAAACATTAGATGTGTGGGTAGCATAAGTGTTATCAGTGCAAAAAGAGGCAGCTATGAGTTAAATTTTCTGGCAGACTGGGTTCTCTCACTTTGGTTGGCAAAAACTCTAGGAGACAGAAATGTATGAATTCAAAACTCCCATAAATAATAGATCAGAAAGAGCTCTTTAGCCTTGATAGGGTAATAAGTCTAGAAAGACAACTCCATTTTAAGAAATAGACTGAAGAGGCTATCTTGCTCTAGACACACCCACTGATGTTATAGCTGCAGTACATGTGGTTATAGGACTAATAACTATGAGGATGAAAAGTAAAAAAGAATTGTTTTTTAATTTTTGTAATCTTTGCAAATGTGCCACAAATTGCATTAAATTAAAAGTCAGATTAAATAACTTCTAGCTATGGTTAGATGTAATGGCTTGTAAAAAGGATCTTGCAATTCCCAATTCCCTGTTATTTTCCAAATTCCAAAGTGATAAATGAAAAATAATGCCAAAACATTTGCAGAAAACAATTTCTTCAGATGAGTACAGGAATGTAAGAAATTCATGACAACCATAACGCTTTATTAATAAAAAAAAAGTCTGCACTTTTGTTGTTTTTTATTTTGTAATGTGCAACAAATGCAAAATTCATCTCTGTTGAATCTATTTACCTCTTCATCTGTTAAACAATCATCAGATGATGGTAGTTTTCCCAAGTTCAGTTTGATGCCATCTTCCTCACTGTCAATGTCCACATCTTTTCCTGCTTCTCCATCCATCCCTGATTCGGTTTCATCTCCCAATCTTAATTTTTTACCGCTTCCCTCTTTTTCTTCTTCAGGCGTCTTCTTTCGCCGTTTTCGTTTCCATACATGAGGCATGTGCACTGGGCGAAACAATCGGGAAAATCGTAAAACCTGACAAAAATGAAAGAACACACATAATCAGAATCAACAACAAAACATCTTTAAATAAATAAATTCAAGCAAATTACTGAGAAAAATCATTTTGATTATCTGCTGTTATTATTTTGATAAAAATCCCCTTTTTCTCATCTATTCTCCATTGTCACAATGACAGGTTGTCAATATCAAATGAACTATAATATTTTAAATCAAACACTTCATAATAAAAGGACATCTTACATTGGTTCCTTTAAAAACACTCCTCTTGACACATGTCCACTGTGGCTATGCCTCTTACTCCTTCTTGCTATTCTTCATTCAAATAAGTTATTTTGATGTATACTTGAAGGAGAGGAATCTTATAAAAAATAAATGTAATATTATCTATTCTATAACATAAAATACAATGTGACTTTATATGATAGGTTCGTTCTCACCCAGTTCACACTCCTTTCCAGTCTTTTGAACAAGAGTAGAGGCTTATCCATCATTTCCTGTTTTTGCAGTTCCTTCTCCTAATGTTTTCCCATTTTCTTTACTTTTCACAGATTAAATTGTTCGTTTCATTCACAGTAATCCACATTATTGCCTTGCTTGAAGTGAAAGGATTAAAAAAAACACATTTAGTTATTATGCAGTCTGATCTTCCCTTGTGAGTAAGGAAATATTTCAGTGTTATAACAGCAAACATTACTCAATACCAATAAGCAAATATTTAATTAGTAAGTAGGAGAAATCAGGCTGCTGATACATTACTCTGTATTTCTTTGTTTGGATATTTTTCCTCAAGATGATTTAGAAAGCAGAATTCTTTGTTGTGTGACAACAGTTAATTGTCAAGTGAAAATCCAAAATTGCTCAGGCAGAATATACAATTACAAAATTATCAAAATATTTTCATCAATTTTAGGGTAAATTAGTTGTCAATAAAAGTTATTAAACATAACAATTATAATAATCACTGTAACTAAATATATATTTTACTGTAAAAGCAAAAGCGGGTCCTAAACAAATCCACCAATACAGAAGGTCCTCAAGTTACATCGGACCCGACATATGGTGTTTTGTGGTTACAGTGCCATCTCCCATAATATAATACATTATCACACAGCTCTATATGAGGAAGACAATTTTGTTTCTTCAATGAGTGTATGCCATATTGGCGTGTGCTACATTCACTATCTCTTGTTTGTGTTGTTTTTTTTTACTTTTTACACTTCATTACAGCACCCAAGCACAAGGCAGTCTCATGGGTGCTTATGTAGGGGCAAGTGCCGACCTACATCAAAAATCAGGTTATGTCACAGCATAGGAACAGACCTTTACAGGCCCCCGTATATAAAAGACAATGGTACCTATTATGCAGTAAAACTTAGGAAGCTATTTATGTTAACAGCTTGCAAATAATTTTAATTGTCACTGGGTGTTTCACTATGCCAGATCTTTTGTTATATTCTAGGAAATTAAATCAATGTATGACAGATCCTAAGCAGATAGATATATGTGTTGAGGAACTCTTTCAAAAACCAACATTCCAAAAATAAAAACAAAAGGCTGTTACTTGTCAAGAAAGGCACATTCTTAACAGTTTGAAGGAATACTTGTAACTTTTGATAAAGAAAATATCAGTTGGTCTACCTTGAAAAGCAGTTGTGCAAAAAAAGAATTCCCTGATAGAATATACAAAGCCAAAGATAATGAGAGCAGTATGTAAAAAAAACAGCAGTATTTTCTTAACAAGCAAGAATTTCATCCAGATTATTTGATTTTCAAAAAGTACCTCCACTAATTTGCTGAAAAAAGAGCATGCCGTGATGAAAAAAATGACCAAAACGTGATAAAAACAAAGTTTTATTGTCAAAATTTTTGTTATTATTAAAAGGAAAGACCAAAGTATTTCTGATTATTTAATTATATTTGTTTTTTTGGTTAAAAATCTTGTTTTTCTTGCAAAAGCAAGCGAACTATAAATTAGCATAGCAAATTTTAGTGTCTTTTTTGCGATGAAAAACATTGATTTGGAAGTTTTTTCAAAAATGAAATAATTGCCAGATTTTAATGAAACTTTTGGGTCTTATTCACAAATGAATGAAATTATTTTAGAAATGTTCTTTTTGTTTTTTAGATCTGTCACCCCCAACTTATTTAATTTTAGGAAATTTCAAAATGGTCTAATGCTTAATGTTTATATTAGTTAAAAGCAGAATTCTTTGGAAAATTTAAATCAATTTCTTTTTGTAAGGTAGGACCCCACTGATCAAAAATCTGCTTTAAATAATAAATAAAAAAATACAATAAAACTAAGACATTATTTTTAATTACTTTTATGCTTAAGATGTATTAAGGACACTATTGTCTTAAGAAAAAATTATTTTTTAGACAAATAATGAATTTTTACAAAAATTGTTTTCATTTTTTAAAATTTAAACTAAAATAATTTATAGTTTTAAATCTTTTAAAATTCTGTTTTAATGGTGTAACACTTTGTTGATATTGTTATAAAGTAAAAACTATATTTACTAATCATAAACCGAAAAGCCTATTACAATTTAAGGACCTCCTGTATTTTAAAAAGAATTAAAAAAAAACATGCTGATTTTTGTATACAGATATTCATACATAACATTATCAGAAAAAAAGAGCAATAACTAGAGTAAATCTAAAACCAAGGTATCTAAACTTCAATAAAGCATTACATTAAGAAAAATATTTTCCTAAATTCTTAAGATTACTGATTACTTAAAAATTATATAAAAAAAGCACTAATGTTATATTCTATTATTTTTACAGATATATCCACCATAGAAAAACATTAGGTATACATCCACCTGTCAACCTATCAACACTTTAAATAAACTGCCATGTTAAAAATGCATTCATGCAATATTTTAAACTTAAAATAAGTAATATTTGTTTCAAATCAATTTAATTAAACTTTAAATTAGCTAATATTCCTCAAATGAAGTTTCAGAAAAGTATATTTTAGTTTTGGAAATTTTTTAATAAAGAGACTTACATTGTAATGAATGATTGCTAAAAATGGTGCTAAAAAAAGAAAAGAAAAATCCTTCCAATCCATTTAAATTAGTATTGAAATGCAGCAAAACATTTTGCTTCTTGGAAATATTAAATTTAATCTATTAGCTTTAAATTGAAAGTAAAATAAAAGCTCTAAGAGAGATTTTTCATTTTTAAAAATTCATTTTCAACCTTAGGTATTGTGAATCTGTCAACATACTCACAAAAAGTGCATATCATTCAGTTTTGATTAAACTCACCTTTCCAGGTCTAAATTTTGGAAAAAGCTGAGTGACATCAACACATTCTAATTCTTTTGGAAGCATTGAAGCAAGTGGTGTACTCAGCTTCTTTTTGGAATCACTGTCCTCGTCATTGATTCTGGCAATCTTATTAGACTGATTACTTTCTGCAGTTGTCAAATTACTTCCACATGTCTCAAGCCCATTTGGTACACGAGCAACTGGTACTTCCAACTGATCAGATTTAGATCCATCAATTTGATTCTGAGAAGAGTCTAATTCTCCTGGTGCCCCTGTTCCTGTGGGTACCCATGAGGGAGGTGGCATCAATTTTGTGTCTTTAGGAACTTCATCATAGTCTTCAGTATCTTAAAAAATAAAAAAAGTAATGATCTTAAATTTATAGAAAATTTTTTTTTTAAAAAATGGAATTTTGTTGAAAATAAAAACTAAATGTTAATTTGGAATGATGCCATAAATGTAAAAAGTCAAAATTTGGTGCATGGCGGCCATTATCAGTTTCAGTAAATTTTCATAAAAATTATTTTTTCACTAAAATAATTTAGAGTAAAAATAATAAAAATTATATTGAAGATAAATATGGGGAAGTGCTGCAGAGCCAAGTAAAATATTTTTATGTATATTGGGCCCAAAGTCATTAAATTCAAAATTTTTAATGAAAATGTTTCCAAATTATGGAAAAGATGTTTTCCAGGATTTTCTTGTTGGGTAACAGATTCCATGATATTTTTGCACATAACTAAGTACAACAATTTTTTTTAAAAAAGTATTTGAATTGATGGAAAAGGAATAAATAATTTTGGGATTAATTCTGCCACCATGTTAGATAGTTTAGGAGGGTAAGTAAGCAGAATTCTAAATCTTTTAAACAGTAATATGGAAACTTTGTGTAAATTGCACACCAGTTCTTCCCATCTGCAATTACGAACTTTATTTAGTTAATTCATGAAGCAGTTAGAAATTTTTCAATTTCAATACAGGGAAGAAGATACTGAATTATCTGATAGAAATGAATTCTTTCTCTCCAAACAGAAATGGAGATAGAAAAGGAGTTTGGGATTAATTTGGGATTTTTGTTTAAGGAATAACAGGACCCAGTTTATTGAATACAAATCAGAAAACTTTAAAGAAAAAGTATCAATAACAAAAAATGGTTAAAATGTGACTGACTGCATTTTCTATGATAGACATCTAAACAGATTATTAAATGTAAATAATTTTTTTTTTCAAAAGTTATTTTATCAAAATGATATTCACCTGTGTGAAGAGTATGTAAACTGGACATTGCCTCCTTCATCTTTTTATCATCATCCTCATCAGCAACTTCACTGATATCTGAGAAATCCACAGCATTTGCAGCCTTGGCATTAAAATCTACAAAACCAACAAACATCCAGAAGAGAATTACTTTATTCAAATATTCCTCATCATTCCCAAGATGAGGGAGTGCTATAAAGTTCTCAGCCTGGCCCACTTCCCAGGATCAGTATTTTAATAACCAGTCAGATTACATTTTAGGAAATGGGTCACTTATTTATGTAAAATGTGTGGGTTTAGACATGCATGAATCACATAACGTCAATTGACCAATGGGCATTTTTTTCCAGATGTATTTATACAAGCAAACTCTGTGGTTAGAGTTATGTAAGTCTAGTCTTGTTACTTAATAGCTGCACCTCATAGATATGCATTGAATAAGAGAGAATTATTAAAGAAAAACTTATTCACATAGCTGAAAAACAAATCTGTTTTGGATGTTTTATATCTTTATATAATAAAGATAAGGAATTATTGAAATGCTGCATAATGAAATGGAGTTGTGATTAGAAAAAGAGATTTTAAAATATCAAAATTAAAATTACCATTCTGTCTTGCAAGAAAAATTACTTCTGAGTAGTTAATAAAAAAATCAATGAAATGTAAAAATATCACAAAATGCCTGAAGACTTATTAAAATTAAGTGATATCTTCTGCAATTACATTTATTTGAATTACATAGAAAAAAAAAGCAACTCTACCAAAAGTATATCATAATAGCAATCCACAAGACAGTACTAGAATTATATAGTAAACAAAGATTATGTTTTTTCAATTGAGAGATAAACACGCCATCCTTGTTCACATAATTTTGGCAATAAAGCTTTCTTGAACTATCCAACTTTAAAGAATAGTTATGTGTAGTTAATCTTTTTGGAGTAGCAATTTCAGGATTTTTTTTTTATTTGCAAAAGAGACTTAAAATGCAGCAATAAATAAAAACTACTGATTTCAAGACATTTTTTGTTTTTTTTAAATAATTAAATAAGAAAAATGTATGACAGACTGTGACAAGAGTAACTGTTAGGTGTGTGTGGGAGGTAAGAAAGACACAGTTGATTAGCTATTTGATCAAAGGTAAATAGGAAATTAGAAAAGCTATTTATTTGAGCAACAGCCTATAACTAGGAGTTTTTAAAGAAGAATCAGATAGTTAGGTAAACAAGAGTCATACAAGGTATGCAAATTGTCAATAGCTAGACAAGAGAGTCACCTTAACTCAACAGAGGAAACTTGTGACAACAGTACAGGTAAGAGTATCATGAAGTGTGCTCTCTTTTGTATTTTATCAGTCCAGCTGTAGTCGTTTATCTTGCATACCGAGAGCTGCTCTACACTTACTGCTTGAGTATTTATATAATTTTTGACTTAGTCATGCTAATTAGGCAGTCATTTAAATATCACTACAAAGAGAATAAACATAGGATACATAGCTTTGATATCCATGTGTTTTTGTACACTCTATCAACCATTTCATTTCTTAATGATTCCATATCAAAATTAACTGAAGCTATATTTTCCTACATGTGTTTAGTTTGTGATGGACCACTGTTTTCCATCATGTGTTTTTCATTTGACAATCTCTCCAGTAATATTTAAATCCCTAAAAAATTGCTGAAGACACAACAGGAAGGTTCTATATGATGGACTCATCAATAACTACTACACAATAAAATGCTGACCTACAGTTGAAAGACATTACTAAGAAAAATAGATGTTGTTTTTGTTTGCAAAGTAACGTTGTAATCACCAGATAATAAAATCAAGAAATTTTAATCATTATTACTTGTCAACTAGTGGAAATGTAAATGAGTTGATAAAAATACTTACTTTCAAATCCATCTTCTTTTTCAGAATTAACTTCTGTCGTCTGCTCTTCGGTTATTTCTTTCACCAATGATCCAATTCGACTAAGCAGACTCAAAGAACCAAGCTGCTTCTTGGATTCCTGAAATAAAATTAACAAAATTAAGTCTTCAAATTGTTCCTGTTGTAAAATTCAAAACAACAGTCACATAAAACAAGACAAACTGCCAATGTTGTTTGGATGATTTTTGCTTAGCAGCATATCAACCTCTAATATGAAAATCTAAATATGTGAACACAATTTTTTGGTATTGACTAAATATATTTTAAATGCAGTTATATGCTTTCAATTACAAATAAAATGTACTGTTGATCTTTTTTTTTTATATGGAAAAAGTATTCCAATATGAAATATAAGAATGACACCAGAGTCTTTATATATATATATATATATATATATATATATATATATATATATATATATATATATATATATATAAGAAATATTGTGTGAGAAAAAAAAATTATCAAATAAAATTTAAGGCTTCAATTAAAATTCAAGCTTGTTGTACTTACTGCATCTAAAAAGTCTTCTTCCAATTCCCCCTTGTCATCAATATTTCCAAATAAGAATCCAGTAAGGCAAGACAAGGTTGATGAGCTTGCTTCACCATGCTCTTCATGCTCCTCTTCACTATCCATAATTAACTGATTGGAAAGACACTCACATCAGCTCAAATTCAAATCCACTGCCAAAACAAATCAATCAAGAGAACTCTGATTATATTGAACTTATAAAAAGACAGACTTACTACCCATCATTACTTACACAAATTTAAGAAAATGATACACTAAACTTTAGTGTATCATTTTCTTAAATTTGTGTAATGATGAGTAGTAAGTCATTTCTTTAATGACTAAAGAAATGTCTTTAGTATAACAACACAAAATTATATTAACTGATCTTTTTTTTAATAACAGGTGGAATAAATAATGAATTAACACAAATATTTAAAAAGAAAATAGAAATAAATAATAAACATTTTAAAGATGAAAACAAAATTTCATAAACTTAAGAAGTTAAGATAAAATTGCTCAATTATAACATGTATTGTAAGTCAATATTTACTTATTTACACAGAAGACTGACAATTTTTTCTGCATTCCACCATTGAATTCAATCCTAATTGCTATTAATTCAACATAATGCTGGAAAATAACTTATTGTAACTGATTTCAATATACACCTATTCACAACTTCATAGTTGTGCAGGAAATAACAGACTTTTTTCTTTCTCTTGTTTACAATCAAATGCAGCATCAGATTATCAACAAAATCAAAATTATAAACAAAAACATAGTCAGAAAGAGATTGAGAGAAATGCATGATCCTGATATGAAAAGATTATTTCTTTTTTTTTAGCAGAATTTCAAACAGAACATGAATTCACAATACAAAGCTTCAGTTTACCATTTTTTAAATTAAGTTATTAAAATTTTAAAAAAATCTTTTAATCACTGTTTCCCAAAGTAAAAAAATAAAATATTAACTATTAATTAGAAAAATTAAATGTGCTAAAGCCTAAAAATGAGAAAAGTTACGAAAAGATCGCACATTTACTTTTTCTCTGTTTTCTGTTTCTATAATATTTTTTAATTTTGATGGTTTTAATTTCAAGAAAACATCTCAAAATACAACAAACAAATGATCAGATGTTTTATCTCTAATTAATTTCATCTTGCATCTGAGATTCACTAACAAAAAATATGAAGTTTTAATAAATGATTCACACAAAAAAGTTGATGGGTGTGATTGAAATATTTTTAAAAGTCAGATTTCATCTCTCGTCATCTTTTGCAGAAAATTTAACATCGTGATAAGTAAAAACAGTTCCCAAGTAAAAATCTTCTCCAACATAAAATAATAAACAATTAGTTTTTTTTCGTTTTTTTTTTAAAGTAAGAAATTGTGTTTATTTGTTTTAAAATTGTTATGAAGTAAAATGATAAAGTTCTTGGTTCCATTTTTGAATATATTCTTTATTTAATCGTGAAACAAAATGAATTCACATCAAAGTAAAAAAAGAAATCATTTTTCGAAATTATTGATTTTTTTAAATGATTCTCTGGTAAAAAATCATCCAAGTACAAATTAGTGCTCAAATTTACAATTATTAAAAAGGTGTTTGTTTTTTGTTGTTGTTGTTTTTTACAGAAGTAAATATTTACTAAAATGTTAATCCGATACAAGACCTAAAAATAGGTATTTATTGAAAAACTATGATACACCAATCAAGTATTTTAGGGAAAACCTGCATGTTTTTAAAATCAACATTTAAGATTTTAAAATCCCAGAAGATATGAATTTCATTTAAAATCAGATGTACTAAAAATAAAAAATGATGAATGCAGCAGAAAGTCTCTAAAGTATGAGAAAAGGAAAACTTAATGAAAATAACAAAAAGTTTTTTGTTTCAAGAGGGAAAATTAAAAAAAAGGTAAAGTAATTCAAAATCAATGGTATAGAAACAAATTATTTTAAAATAAATTCACATTTATTTTAAATGTGATATAAACTAAAAGTAAATAAACAACAATTATTACTTACATGAAGGCTAATATGATGAGCATTTCCTTATTATTACCCAATAACACAACCAAAATATTACTTCTTCTTCCAACAAAGTTGAAAAAAATTATCAAATATTGTTTTGGCACATCTAAGAAGCACCATATTTTATGGTTTCATTTATCGGAAATCTAAACAAACACAACTTTAACGAAACCAACTTTTTTCGAGATTCCAATTTATTAAAATCTTGATATTTAACATTGTAAAAAAATCTTTTTAACTAAATATTCGGAGAGCAACAAATTCAAAACAATGTTCTGTCGGTGGAGGGTTATTATTGCATTTAGAGACTTGACGAATCTCTTCGTCTCCAGACTAAAACACGTGGATAATTCAAAACATTTCTAAATCACCTGTCGAGTTTTCATATATAACTGAAGCAGAATGTAGGAGACAAGAAGAGAAATCAAGCTGTGAATCGAGGACTTGGTTTAGAAAACCAATTCTCTTATTATCTAAGTCGACAGCAAAACAACATCATCTCTTCTTGACAATATTAGCGACAAAGATGTAAAGAACTCGCTCAAATAAACAGAGAGAATCAAGTGAAAATTTGGAAGATTTCCACATAATCAGTAATATGAATAAAATTAGTTAAAAATGCATGCACAATAAAACGATGATGCTAGCAAAGGGAGAATATGGAAATTATTTGAGTCTGTGTTTATGTACTTTAATGCAAGTATTTTTGATCATCTTGGTCGTCGAGAGGAAAGAAAACGATGCCTCTCTCTCTAGAGTCTCTATAATAACTTTAGGCCCAAAACAATCTCAACAGAAAGCTAAATAATTTAAATTAAGAACAACAACAAATCACTACAGATCATAATGATGCTAGAACTTGATGCGAAAACAATATAAGTCAGCATGTTTACTTTGAGGGTGTTGAATGCAGAAAACAGAACAGAAACGAGAGCTCACCGTACACTTTAGCTCTTATAATAATTGCAAAGTTAAAATCTCTTTACCCACAATGCACTTTGATGGCACGTGGTCTGTTTCGACCAATGAAAAGTTTCGTTAAGCATTAATGGAAGTAAACATCCAGGTTTTGTAGCAATCAGACTAATCTTCTAACGCCGCTTCTGATTGGTCACAAGAAATTCAGCTACAAAATGGTGGATTTTTCAGTCAACCGCCATCTTGGTGTAGCGTCAGCACACGTGGGGAATCGGTTTTAATTTCATTAATATATACAAGTTTTACTGCTCTCTCGCTTTAGTCTGATGCTTGTAAGATTATAAATCTCACTGATACTTGTTTTTTATCGTTCATTATAATGATTCGCTTGTTGTAGACATTAAACAGATGTAAACATGAACACATGGGATGCTTACTGACACAGAAATCAACCTTCAAAGCACAATGTAGTGACCTCATTAAAGTAGTTTTTTTTTAAGGAATAGAAATCGCGGAGCCAATTTGAAAAAGTAATCAGCGATATTAAACTGGTAGTTAAGCAAAATGGAGAGTATTTATCCACTAAAATCGTTATTTTTATTGGGAAAATATATTTACGCAATATGGATATTTAAAAAAAAATTAAATTAATAAATTAATGTTTGTATTTTCCGAATTAGAAATAAATAAATCCTCTCAAGTTTTTTCTACAAGTTAAACAACTGATAGCATGTCCGTCTTGAAATGTATACAACCAATCATCAGATTTTACATATGAAGAAAAATTTGGAAAAAACAAACAAAAATCCTTAAATGCAATTATGTTGTTTAAAATGAATGAATTTAAGGATTTTTGTTTGTTTTTTCCAAATTTTTCTTCATTCTGTCGGATCTATATCCATTTACATTTACACACACACACACACACACACATATATATATATTCTATGTATGAATAATGTGCTGTAATGATGGGGATTGATCAAATCAATTCTTCATTTCAAATACCAGTCTCATATGTTGTTTCTTTCTATTAGTCGTGTCACGATGATATTACAGTGTAACCCGGATATAAGAGAGTTGTCGGGACCAGAGACGAAGTCTCTTATATCCGGGTTTGGTCTATTTTATATACATTAACACAGGCTCTAATTTGGGACCAGATAAAATCTCTCTTATATCCAGGTTTCTCTTATATCCGGATCTCTTATATCCGGGTTACACTGTATTTAAATAATAATAAATTATTTAAAGCTGGAAACATTTTAAACAGTGGACAGAACTGACCATGCCATTCGCTTTTTTCTTCCGTGAGATCAAATTCTGGTCTCACCTGAAGTCATCCTTTATAGGAATGGCAAGACTGTGTGATTAAAGGGGGAGTTGGAGCCTTACCCTTTCTATTCTTTCATTTTCAACATTCTCACGATGAGACACTGTGATACAAGGTTATTTAAAACAGGGACAGAGACATCCCGCCCATTTATCTATCAGTCGCCTAGGGCGCAAATTTCCGAGAAGTGGCTAACAAACTGAAAAAGTAGTCGTGAGATAGAGCAATGCAATTTGTTTTGTGTAAGTTTCTCAATTCGATTGCCTGTCTCATTGCATGTTGTATTGATTTTACAAAAGGTTATTTACTCGTTTTCCCACAGTTGTAAGATGTGACACAAGATCTTTTTTGTGTGGGGCTGCTTTCGACCCAGTCTTTGCGACCAATGTCACGCTGACGTCAATATTCCGCCAACCCTTCCTCCTTTAGTGCAATGAAGGAGGTACGGCCACAGAGTTGCAATCCCCGGGACCCGGAACCTTCTTCCTTCTAAAGTGAGAAGAACAGATACTATGCATTGATCCCGGTCCGAAGGCTGAGAAGCGATTTCACCAAGAGAAGTAGTGAATTTCACCATGAGGTTGAATTTTGGAAATTAAGATGTGGATGAAAAAATGTTAGTGGTTAAGCAAAAAGCTATGGTCATGACTGGAAAAATATGCAAGGTGATTGGCCGCCATGAAAAAATATTTAGAGAAGAAATCATTGTCCGTTATTTGAAAATGATTTTTTTTTAAATTATGCGTCCAAATTGGATCACACGGGTTGATTTTCTAGGTTACCAAAAATGCGGGAAAGCATTGGCTAGAAAGTAAGACTGTATCTATTTGAAATTATTGTTTATTTTTGGTGAAAATTTTGCGTCGGACTTTAAATACACAGAGACCAAGTTTTATCGGTTTGATCTCAGTGCCTGAGGTTTTTATATTCAGTTGGTGTCCCACTCCCACTGTCTCTATTCTATATCACACACATGTGTGTGTGTGTGCATGTACGGCTGGCGGATGTCTTATTCAGTGTTCGAAATCAAACAATGAAAATTAAACCAAAACATCTCGTGCTGGAATGTACGAACGTTTTTCTGGAAATGTAGGAAACCGGATGAGCGTCTAGCGGCGCGGGGCTTAGGCGTTAAAATGAACACTTGATTTATTCACGTCAAGATTAATGAAGATTAATAATCAAGGTACGAAATGGTGTCCAGCAAGAGTACCTACATTGTGATAATGATGAGGAAACACAAAGGTAATTTTAACAAAACGAGGATTTTATTCACGAATTTACACGCTTGAAGTAGTGCCAATAGCTCGTTTCAGGAAAATAAATCAAAATTCTTAAAATTTGTAGTTTTAACGAATTGTCATGAAGAGGAAATGTTCTAACAGCAGATTAAATGATCTGATACAAAATAATGTTTAAAACAAAAGAGAGTTCGTTGCTCTCCAAAGGGATAAATGGTTTGCATATGTTCAAAAGTAGACGAAGAGAGATAGTTTGAAATACTTAGTTTTCTTGGATTGTTGCGAGAAACTTCTTTGAAGTCCCGAGAGCTGGTTAGAGGCCGAGAATATAATTGGCGAATAATTTTACACTGGCGAGAACTTCAACGCAAGCCACGAAGAAGTGAAACGAAACTTTTCACATGACTTCATATACTCTTCTCTGATTAATTTATTTTTTCTCTTCATTTTATATCAAAGAGAATTTCGCATAGGCTCTCTACTTTCTTTTCTTCTTCTCGTCTACTTTCTGTGAAGGCAAGGTTTTCACTCGTCCAAAAACAATTTAACATAAGCTCACGAATTCCTTTCCTTGTTCTTCCTCAATCCTCCCAATTTGAAGGGAGTGAGTGAAGGTAGTTATTATTATTTCGCACTCACCTACAAATAAAGAGAAGTTGGTGTAGTGTTTATTGTAGGTTGAACAAGTTACTGGGTGGTATAAGTGATAGACTTATTACACTTAGGTTGCAGATAGTCGATATGCTGCACTAATTATTGCTTATGGTCTTACATTTCTTTCTGATGAAGTGATATAGACCTAAGCCAGTTAAGCTAGCTGCTCGTAATCGCACTACTGTCAAGTTACCAAAGAGCTTCGAGGTTTCAAAACTCCATTCCTAAGACACTTGATAAGCTCTGCAAGCACGAATTGAAATTCAGGTTAATTCCTCTAACCGGAAAGAAGTTCGTGATCAGATCTAGAATACGACAATAACAAAAAAGACTCTGGGGTTAGTTTCAGCTAAAAATTGTGACTGGTTCGATGAAAACAACCAAGTACTCTCTCAAATAAGAACAAGATACGGGAAGACATATTACAAAATGGATTTTACACGAACACCCAACAGCAACTAGAAAGGCAATTCAAAGAAGCAAAGCTCAATGATCAGTGTAGACTCCATGAAATGGAAGACTGTTGGTGGTCAGATAAGCACAGAAATATAGGCTGACACAGATATAAAGAATAATAAAGAGATGTACGACTCCATGAAGCACGTCTTTGACCCAAGAACGGCCTTAGTAACGTCTCTTGGATCAAAAGATGACACGAAACTCCTTATTAGCATTGTGGAAATTAGTAACAGATGGAAAGAAATTTTTCGAATCTGTTCAACATGTGAACCAATCTTCTCTTAACCACCTTCAGGAAAGAATCATCATGCTATAAAAGCGGCCGCTTAAAAATAACAACTAGAAAGGCAATTCAAAGAAGCAATGCTCAAAGCGTAGCTAGAGCGTTGTGAGATGGGAAACACTTGTTGGT